CACAATATCCATGGGCTGTCACACTCACAATATCCACAGGCTGTCACACTCACAATAACCATGGACTGTCACACTCACAATATCCATGGACTGTCACACTCACAATACCCATGGGCTGTCACACTCACAATACCCATGGACTGTCACACTCACAATATCCATGGACTGTCACACTCACAATATCCATGAGCTGTCACACTCACAATATCCATGAGCTGTCACGCTCAGAATATCCATGGACTGTCACACTCACAATATCCATGGGCTGTCACACTCACAATATTGATGGGCTATCACACTTACAATATCCATGGGCTGTCACACTCACAATATCCATGGGCTGTCACACTCACAATATCCATGGGCTGTCACACTCACAATATCCATGGGCTGTCACACTCAAATATCCATGGGCTGTCACACTTACAATATCCATGGGCTGTCACACTCACAATATCCATGGGCTGTCAGAAACAACAGCAAACTACTAAACAATAAATTTGCCTTAAAAAACCACAATAGCCAAAAAATGCTTGGGTTGGTTCTGCAACATCCTGTAAAGGATACACAACTAACTTTTGAAGCACTCACAAAAAAGATGTGCTGACATGCAAACATATGTGTAAGTTATATATTTTTGCTTTTTTTTTACCATAAACAAATATTTAAAAATATTTAAAAAAAAAAACATACACAATGTGAGTGTATCATCAACAGGATAAACAACGCAGCAAACATTATAAATCACATATATCTGCACCACTGCAATAACACTTAGTAATTTACATTAGTTTCTATTGCAAAAATATAGCCATCCATATGTCTGTATGCAATGCACACCAAAAAAAAAAAGTACATTAATGCAACTAAAAATATAAAAATTATTCATTTGCATATCAAAGCAATGTTGCCCTGTAAATCTAAACAATGAGGACACAAACAATAAATTGCACAATTTATCGCCTGATATATTTTGCTGTATTCTAGCAGGTGCACAGTACAGTAACAATTGAACATAATGAAACACATAAATCAATCCTTCTAAGTGAAATACAAAATCTGCTATTTAAAAGTAAATGCCTGTTTTAACAGGACAAACGCAGAGCTAAGACCATGCCTGTTTGTCTGCATAAATCTGAATAAAAGTTGGTGCTTTATTAATAAAATACCCAAACAGGGGAAATCGGCAGGTAACGGGACAGTCTAATATTTAGGGGGTGGTAGATAGGCTGAATGCAGTTGTGGGACCTAGGCTGCATGCAGTCGTGGGACCTAGGTTGCATGCAGTCGTGGGACCTAGGCTGCATGCAGTCGTGGGACCTAGGCTGCATGCAGTCGTGGGACCTAGGCTGCATGCAGTCGTGGGACCTGGGCTGCATGCAATCGTGGGACCTAGGCTGCACTCTCTTGTGGGATGTGGGTGGGTTGGGGTTAGTGCCAGTTCTAGGTTTGTTGGGGTCGTTAAAGCACCAGAAACCCAGGAAACCCAGTCTTACCACCCTCTGAAATGTTGGACTGTCCTGTGATGTCATTTTGGGTAGGATATTAATAAAGTACATAAAAGTTAATTAATACTGTGGCTTACATGAAGTATAGCATTTTATCACTGGCGGATGAAAACATAATTCAAAATGTGCTATCCATGTTTACAATGTAGCCAAAGTTTCAAAAGCTGGCGCATGGTGGACGAAGAGTGATGTGTTTGACTGGTCTCCTCAATCAGAGCATAATTAATTTTGTATTTCAGTGAAAAAAGATTAATTTTACTGTTTCATGACATTCAGTCACTAGATGACATACAGTAAAATATTCCAGGCAATAAAGTGTGTAATCTAGCTTTTGTGTCTTATTTGTTTATTTGTATATAACTATATGCAGAGTGGTCCCTTGTAAAAGGTGCATAAGTAGATAAAAACATAACATCTATCATACATGAAGTTTGTATGTCCTCATACATAAATATTAAAGATCGTATATATGACCACATAAATAAAGATGAATAAGCAATTTTTATCCATTGTAAAGATCGCATGGTACAAGTCACCACTGTCCGCCAATCTTGTCAGGTACAAGATTTTGTGTCCCCCTGGTCTCTCGGTAGTGAGATCGGATGCCCGTGTGTATTGTTGAGCAGATTAAAAATCCCATGGCAGTTGGAAACCGAAAACAGTAACATAATGGTGCTGCCCGGGCAACATTTTGAGTTAAAAATCGCCGGTGCTACAGAGCCTGTGCACTGTGCTGAGTTTCTTCGGACTTAGACTTGAGTTAGAAGAAGAACGGAGCACTTATGGGTTACTACTACCCGTGTGCCATGATGTTGATCCATTGTTTAAACTTCAAACTTCTAACCTAGAATATTTAACGAGGTAAAATCCCCAGCCACAATACATAACTCCCCGTGTGGGTTCCCGGAGCCCCATTGTGGGGGAAAACAAGAATAGACCCACTGTCTTCCCAACAAGCAGGTTGAGAGGTATACAATTAATTCAGGTCTGTAAACTGGACGTGCACACAACACTCAGGTTCTGGAACACGTCTAAAGTGCAAAGGTGGATGAACAACCATAAGTTTCTGCCGGACTTTACAGCCGGTGAACATGAAGAAGAAAACGCACAATGTTAAAAATATTTAGGGCTACATCAGGTATGTTTGGTCAGAGACAACTGGCAAAGACTCCCTTTTAAATAGACAATGCATACTGTAACATGCAACTCTTCATTCAATTCCAGCTTTATCATCAACAAACTCAACATTCTCACTGGTTAATCGTCGCTGTCAAGGACTCTTTCATCTTTGCTTTCAGAAGCCTCATATTGTCTGCAGCAAATGTATTATTTGGATCAAGCTGTAGGGCTTTCTGGTATGAGATGTCTGCCTCTTTGTACTTACCCCACCTGTGATACAGCACACCTACAGGAAGATGATAAGACAGCAATCAGGAACACTGTAACTGATCAATTGTAACAAGTAACAGCAAAGGGCTTTTTTCATGCCAGTGGGACATTTAGCAAGTGATGATACTCAATTTTGTATAGACCAATCTGACATGGTCACTATGATGGTCGTCTTTACTTCCTAGGACATTTCCTGCTACCCACTTTAGCAGACTGGGTCAATTTGGAAGCCAAGGTAAATTTTGTCCTCTCAAATCTGCCTGGCGTGTATTCAAATCTAAGATTTTCAGATGACAGGCAAACATTTAGCCACTACAGTACTACAGCTCAAAAGAGATCAACTGACTTAGCTGTCACAGATCCTCATATCACAGTGAGAAGTTATTCATTAGCACTACAACTGCCTTTAGATTACATCAGAACCCTTTCAGTTCAGTGCAAAAACTGTCAGCATCAACAAGGAGGGCAAGTGTGTGCAGTGGAATTCTTTTTCTTCATTCACCGGAGGAAAGTCCTGGCTGAATGTCCATTTGAACTCTGCCTTTTAACAGGGCCAGAGTTTTGCCCTGTACATCTGTTTTTATTGGCTTACTTGTGTGCAGTTGGTTGTTCCTTGCCTCTTGGACAGATGCACTCTGACTTTGAAGGAAGCCCTGGATTAAACAACTCTTTCAACATGCTTGTTGGGGAGGTAGTGGGTCGATTCATGTTTTCCCCACAATGAGGCCCCGGAACCCATACGGGGACAGCAAAATTCACAAGTGAATAAATATGCTTTAGAAAACAATTGTTAGTTGTATATCTTTTACAGTATTTCTCAAACTTTTTACACTTGCGGCCCACCAAAAAGAAAAAAAGAAATGTTATTTCGCTGCCTGCCTGACATCTAACCAAACACATTATGTGGTTGAACAAGGTTTCTAGGATTTCAACCAGTTTGGTTTTCGTGCCTGAGTGTTAACCCTACAGACCCCAATCCTGGACGAGAAAGATGATCCAATCTACCTCTTACATGAAATTGTTGGTGGATCAGCAAGACTCCATGGTCGACCCAAGATTGAACGGACACCAGGTGCAAGCACTGTGACAATGGGAAGTAAATGCGGCCGGCATAATGTTGACCATATCACCCACCTAGTGTCCAGTGGTCTATAAAATACAGGTCTAGCCCTATATGCCCAAAATGCCTGAAGGTGTGGAAAATGCTCCTTGACCTTTTTTTATTTGTTATTAATTTCCACATCCTCTCCCCCTTCCTAAACATATCACTAGTTTAACAAGACAGTGGTATGGGTTCAATTACTAGTGGTCATAGAATCTGTTTCTTGCCAACATTCAGGCATGGATCCAGAACCATAAGATAATTACAGGATCCAGTCATTATTATCCTCCCTGTGCGAGTTCAAGATCCACATTTTTTGTGGGTGGAAAAAGGAACACTCACCGCCCCCCAACAGGAAAAATTCAAGATGTGGAACAAGACTAAAGTCCAGCAGTGGAGGACAAACCGGAACTTTCCTGTAGGTGTTTACAGCCAGTGAATGGAAAGAAGAGGAAGAACTGCCCCTTAGTAGGCTCGTCGTAAAATGTGCTTATCAAGAGTTTGCTCAAATCGAGTATGTTGTGCCAAAAGATGCGGATAATGCAGCCAAGCTTTAAACCATAACACAAAGCACAATTTTAAGATCAAACAAAATAAGATGCACAAGAGTTTCCACTCTAATTAAAATACCCATAATTTACTTTTCTTCTTATTCTTCACGTTCACCAGCTGTACACTCTGGCGGAAAGTTCTGGTTGCTCGTCCACTACTGAACTGCAGTCCTGCTCCAGAACCTGAGTGTTGCGTGTGCATCAGTTTACAGATCTCATTCTCTTGAATACAGACTGTTGGTTCCTTGCCTCTCCGGCAGATGCACTCTGACTTCAAAGAAAGCTCCCCAATTAGTCGACTCTTACGACATGCTTTTGGGGAGGCAGTGGGTCTATTCTTGTTTTCCCCACAATGGGGCCCCGGAACCCACACAGGGGTTATAATTTACTTATCAGTGGATATGAAATATACAACTTATCCACTTCTTTAAAAAAAAACATCTGACGTACCTAGGTTAAGGTGAATGTTTGCGTTCTGTGGATTTCTCTGCAGGGCTGCCAGGAACCACTTCTCACTCTCCTCAAACTTGCCCTGCTTGCCATAACAACTTGCCAAGGTGAACATTAACGCAGAATTATCTGGCAGAAATTTGAGTGCGGAAAATGCCAGGTTTACCGCCTGGTCATATAACCCTGAAGAAGGAGCAAATAACCTTGAGAACACTTCTGAGGCCATCAAGTAATAAATTATATTGTGTCACCCTTATCTGAGAAAAGTAAGAGCTGTTATAACTTAGTGGCTAGATGCTAGGGTCCATATCCACAACATGGTGGATTTGAAAACAAAAATGTATCTTGGCTTCCAGATTGGTCTAGCCTAAAATGGACACCAGGTAATGTATGGAGAAGTGGTTGTTTGCCTTGTGCTCTAAAGGTCATGGATTTATTTCACAGTGGCAGCGCTCAGTTCACAAGCATAATTTTTACGGAGATCTCTCGGGATTGTTGCTGGAGGCCATAGAGCATGACCTTAGTGTAACGCTTTCGACAGGCGGCTACTAGCCATTCTGCAGAGATAGACTGAGCTAAATATGATAAAACCCAGTGCAATCTTCTTCGTCTTCACATTCACCAGCTGTAAACTCTGGTTGAAAGTTCAGTTGTTCATCCACTTTTGGACTGCATTCCTGTTCCAGAACCTGAGTGTTGCATGTGCATCCGTTTTACAGACCTGACTCATTTGTATGCAGACTGCTGGTTCCATTGAAGTTGATCCTCTTATTTTTACCTCTCGCCCCCCCACCCAATGGATTCCAACTGGTTTACAAAAATATAAGTCTAGCACCATATACCTGATACCTCAAAGACATGAAGAGTCTTTTACTTTACTTTTTTATGTAAGAAGACTGGGAGCCATAGTAGCGCTGTGGCTTGTATGCTGGCCCTGTGTTTGTGGTTTCAAATCTCCTTCAAGGCAGAACTGTTAAACTCACCTGGGCTCTCAAGTCAACCCAGCCCATACATGAGCACCAGGAAATGCTCTTGGAAGTAAAAGCAGCTATCACGACAACCACCAACTGATGTGTGGTCTACAAAAATATAGTGATAGTACTATATCCTTGGAATATATCAAAGTATCACTTCTTCTTTGTGTTGACCGGCTGTGAACTCCGGCAACAGGCTTCGGTTGTGTATCCACTTCTGGACTTGTCTTGTTCCAAAACCCATGTTTTGGATGCACATCCTTTTTACAGATCTGCTTTATCTGTATGCAGATTGTTTGTCCCTCTTACTTCTCAGGCAGATATGCTCCGACTTCAAAGGAAACGCCCTTAACTAGTCACCTTCTATGACATGCTCGTTGGCAGCCAGTGGGTCTAGTCCACATCCCCCTCCCTCCCCCAATGGGTCCCCAGAATCCATGTGGGGAGTATCTATCAAGGTATAGAAAAGGGTCCTTTACTGTCTTCTATCTTAGATGTTTAGATGCCAAATCAACAACATAGACAATATACACTGAGTGTTCTATACCTACATAAAGCACCCTTGGTGTGATAAGGGTCCTTTATTTTCTACAACCCAGAAGTCAGAGAGGAACCTCCCATCCTCACATTTTATACAAATGTTCCCAATCTGATTTAACCTCAGCACCTTTTACCTCCTAGGCACTCCACTACTCAGTGGGAACAACAGTGGAAAAAAGTTATATTCCTACCCAGGTTATCCAGAAGTACAACGGCATTATTCCAAGCATTCCAATGAGTTGGTTTGAGACTTGTGGCATTGCGGTAAGCATCCAATGCATCTTGGGATCGCCCCATGTCAATGTACTGCAGAAAAACAATTAAAATACATCCTTACTAAAGATCACTGCTTTTAAATATGCATTGTTAACTCTTTCAGTACTAAACACCTGTTACTTTCTACTCATTTTATCAAAGCAGTTATTATTTTAAACACATAGTTGTAGAGTCTAGTAGAGTTCCTATATTAACTGTATTGGGCAGAAAGAACAAATTTGCCCCTTAAATATCTTTAAAATTTACCTTTTTTAAATTTTTTAACAATAAATGTATCATTATAATTTTCTGAAACTCTGTCCTAAGAAACTAGAGAAAAAGAACGAATGAACAAACGAACAAACTTTATTTTCAAAGGGTTACAATTTGGGCACGCAGGCCCGTCTGACATTGAAGAAGAAGCAGAAGAAATTTTGAGTCATGGTCAGTTTTTTATTTTTTTATTTAGGGAAGTTGGAACCCAAGACCATTGAGAAGACAGTCAAGCTTGCTAACTATTGAGATATAGCAGCCCACAGGTCCCTAAAAGTATAGATTTCTCCTATTTAATTATTTTGAGCAAAAGGATTTTTTTTTTTTAAACGAAGGGAAGTAATCACTAAATACAGATGGAGCAAAGAAATAACTGCTTTCTTTCCCTTTGATTAAGAAAACAAGGATTTTGTTGACACAGCCACAGAGAGCAAAGTGAGGTCATGATAAATTTATTACGACATCACTATGAAACAGGAGTCGCTGTGGCATAGCGGCTAGATACTTGCATGGGGATCAGAAGGTCACGGGTTCGCTCCCTGGCGGAGCCAGACTTTAAAAAAAAAAATGACCTTGACTCCCAGGTCAACCCAGCCTTGAGTGGGTACCGGGTGCAGTCCCCAGGAGTAAAGACGGCCGGCGTGATGCTGACCACATCACCCATCTTGTGCCGATTGGTCTACAAAAATATAGGTCTAGCCCTATATGCCCAAAGGTGTGGAAAAGGGACCTTTACTTTACTATCACAATGAAACAAAAAAATGTCACCCAAATAATAATTGCAATTTGTTGGGTTGGTAAATCATACCCACCATGTCTACACACTATGCAGTTGTGGCAGTACCAAAGCTGTCATACAGACGTACAGGCACTGTCTAAAGACAACATGCCAACATAAGCCTGTTAAAGCCACAAAAATGGCTTTCTCGGGGCTAGAGAGTAAAGTAACAATTAGGATTCAATGGCTAGTGTAACAGCTGAATGAGTTGAGTCGAGTCAAGAATTGACATCACAGCACTCAGGGCATTCCCATGCGTGCTCCATCCTCATCTTCAGCAGCCAGCACAGAGTTTCAATACTGATGGTAACGGTCACAGTCTGGTTATATATCCATCTTGCCTTTCCTCTGAGTGTAGTGAGCCGGCCAGACCCTCTGGTTACACCCAGGTGCTTCATTCTCTCCAGATCATATTAATCTTGTTTCTCTACTAATTGCCTTGTCATGTATCAATTCACCACCCAGTGGTGCAGATCTATGACCTAGAGAAAAGATCCAAAGTATGTCCACAACCCGTGATCTTCCCACAGAAGCTTGCCACTCTGCTCAAAGCATTAGCTGAATGAAGTACAAAAAATGAGATTAAGCTGCTCATCTGATGAGGGGCTGTCAGTAGTGAACGAGTTAAGAGAGGAAGCATCTGGGGATTTTCATATTAACATGTTCTTTTTTTTTGGGGGGGGGGGGGGGTTTTAAACTAGATATTAGTTACCAGATTTCCTAAAGAGATTCTTTCCAACTCAGCGGCTATTAATCATCAATATCAAGTGCTTACTGACTAGGTGTCTCCAACAGTATTCAGTAACTAATGTGCTGTGAGAAAGAAATAAAGAAAGAGAGAGATAGAGAGAGAGAGAGAGAGACAAACACACTTGAGCAGCATTACCCTTGCTCTGTGTCGCTACATTTCTTCAGTGTGGCTGTCTGTGGCAGCTGGTAACATGACACTCTTTTATCTAATTTATTCATTTTTAATATCTTTCTCTGTCTGTTGAATGCTTTTTGTCTTCATATTATATTTCTCACACTTGGTATTGGCAGACGCTCAACACTCAGGGGAAGGGCAGTTACCGGTGCCATCGGAACTGCAACTCTTTGTTTGCTGCTGAAGATAGGGATGGAGGGCTTATGTGGGTGTCCCGAGTGCTGTGATGTTGATTCTTCATTCAACATTAAACACTTGGTTTTGACTGGATTGAGATGGTTCTGGAGACTCCCATCTGCTGCTGCTACTAATACTGGTCAACTGCAAATACCTCTTCTTCTTCTTAGCATTAACCAGAGGGAAACTCCAGGGGAAACTTCTGGTTGTTCGTCCACTCCTAGACTTTGGTCTTGATCTGCATGCTCCTATTTTACAGATCTGACTTATTTGTAAACAGACTCTTTGTTGCCTCTCAGGCAGATGCACTATGACTTTCAAGGAAACACCCCTAATTAGTTGACATAGTTGTTATTCTTTGTCCTAAAGCCACACTGAATAAATTGTGTTCTTACATAACTGCTGTCCACTTACCAAATTCCCAAGATTGTAGTAGCAATCGGGATAGTTCCTGCGACATCTTATGCCTTGTTTATAACTGTATTCAGCATCCTGGTATTTCTTCAGTGCAGCTTTCACGATGCCTCGATTCATCCACGCAGCAGCAAAATCTGGGCTGGATGATGCAAAAAAAGGACAGGGTAAGGATAGACAACTGGCAGCTATGAACCTCTTTTAACTACACTGAAAATACAGAAAAGCCAATGGTACAATACATCACAAGATCTGATAGCCTCTTAAAAACAATACTACAGGGCTCAGTAGAGGAGAAGAGGCAGACCAAGAAAGATCTGGATACAGAACTTGACTGACTGGACAGGCCTGAGGCATGCAACCATGAAATCCACTGCATCTGACAAAGGGAGAGGGAGCTGATCAGACAGTCAACAGCAACTGGTGACCCAATGGCATGCAGTGCTATGGGACAATGATGATGATGATGAACGATGACAATAGAATCCTGCAATGAAATGCACGCATGCTTTTTCTTCTCCTTCTCTTCCGTCAGTTACCTCAGTGAGGGTTGGGAATGGGGGTGGGGGGGCAGTGTAATGATGGTGCATGCTGAGTGAGCATGCAGTGACAAATACATATGAGGAATATATAAAAAAAAAAACTGTCTAACCTGTAGTTGGAAAAAAATAGGAGGGGGAAGGGAACAAGAGAAAAGATGTTAGCATCATGGAAGAACACACGTATGAGAAATGACAGACAGTTTATGAGACAGAAAGCTGAAGACAGGCATAATTACAAATGTCTGAGGCATGGACTGTAAGAAAAGTAACCCCGGAAAGTTAAACAGGGTATTCGCTGTGTGGGTCACGGGGCCCTGTTATAGAGAAAACAAGAATAGATCCACCGCCAGCCCAAAAGCATGTTGTAGGAGTCAACTAATTGGGAGCTTCCTTCAAAGTCGGAGTGCATCTGCCTGAGAGGCAAGGAACCAGCAGTCTGCATACAAATAAGTCAGATCTGTAAAACGGATGCACATGCAACACTCAGGTTCTGGAACAGGACTACAGTCCAGAAGTGGATGAACAACCAGACTTTCCACCAGAGTTTACAGCTGGTGAACGCTAAAAAGAAGAAGAAGAAATAGGATATAAACTATTATAACTAAAATCATCTGTGCAATAAAGAACATTACGATATTGATACAGCCTTGTCCAGCAACAGCTCAGCTTCCAGCTCCTTGCCTTGGTCCTTGAGCATGTTGGCCAGGTTGTTCATAGCCTGATCATACACAGGGTTCAGTCTGAGAACAACAATCAGTTACAACATCATACAGTCTGTGAACAAAATATCATCTCGGTCACAGACTACTAACAGCGCCATTATTTCTACTTCAAAATATTGCTGCCACTAGTATAAACCGGTGTTTTTCATTATACATAACTCTCGCCAGCACCACAAGAGTTCTTTCCCCTCCCATTCATGCTGCAGCCTGTCGCACAGCCTGTCCTGTGTTGTAGAGGTGTCATGTATTCATTATTTTTAAAAGTTTAACCATTCTTTTTTTTCCTGTGTTGTCACCACTCACTTGCGTGATTACTTCTACTTTGTGCTAGTTGCCCGACATTTTGTGAGCATGGAAACTGGCATATTATTCTATTCCTAAGTGTTTTTTACATTTGCTTCTTTTTCTGGGGGGGGGGTGTCACCACCAAGGAACACAGAAATACAAAAAACATCCTAGTTTCAATACTCACAAACATTTGCCCTTCCCCCTACAGTACTTTTAACTTGTACACAGGTGCCTGCGGCGCCTCAAAGAGACTCACGACCTCACATAACAATTATATAAGGTGAGCGAACGCCGAACAAACTCATCTCATAACACCCCCACAACATAGAATAGGCCATGCAACTGGCCGCGACATGAAAGAGAAGGGAGGGAACTCTCGTTGTGCGGGCGAGTTTTCATAAATTCCTACAAACCATGTGTTGCATAGAGAAGACAATCAGGAGGAGAATATGAAAAGAGAGAAAAATGACTGTAGGCAGGTAAAGGGCTGAGCCTCAGAAGAAGCAAATTAAATACATGCTTAAATGCTTGGGCAACAATGGTCCAGAAATCCCATACTCTAATTATGGAAGACTTAACATGAGCAGGTCTTGATGCAGTCACAACTGTCACTGCCATGGGAGTGCTTCCCATGTTTCCTTACATCAGACACAACCACTGCCATCTGGAAAGACGCACAGAAAGGTGCCAAACAACCAACCAGTATTACCACAACCAAAGCTACCAACACATATTAGGTTACATCAAAATGAAGTGAGATGATCAGTTCTCATTCTTACCGCTTTTCTTCCTGGACAAATGCCAAAATTATCTCATACTTATTTTACCAAAACTCTTATCGACGCCACAGTCATGCTGAGCAGAAACACATTTTTTCACCACTGCTGACTGAATCTACAACATTATCTTGTTATCACTTCACCTTTAATAATGAAATTCAGACTTAGCTACCAGAATAAAGACAATCACCTGGAGAGACTATGGACAAAACTCACTCTATGGCCCGTCTGTAACGTTCGATAGCCTCCTCCGTTTTCCCAACATCTGCACACAGCTTTCCGATATTGTAATGGACCTGTTTGATATATCCGACAAAGTGTTACCAAATACAAATACCAACATTTTCACACATTTTATAATATCAACCACCTTATATATTATACATTGGTACTCCAGATCTAGATCTAGATTTCGGGAGTCAAGTCATTTGCCATTTGCCCTGAAAGCCTTTGTTTGTTTTGGGCGGTGTTGTTTGATTCGTGAGTGTAATTTTTATGAAGATCTATGGGGATTGTTACTAAAGCTATGTAGTTCATGCTTTGTGCAGCGCTTTCTGCAGGCAGCTAGCTATTCTGCATAGAGAGATAGATAGACAGAGAGAGAGAGAGAGAGAGAGAGAGAGAGAGAGAGAGAGAGAGAGAGAGAGAGAGAGAGAGAGAGAGAGAGAGAGAGCTATGTGGATTAAAACTGGTGCAATGAAGTCGATCCTTTCAACTTCAACCCTAGACCATCGTCTCCACACAGCTGTTTGATATTATAATGGACCTGTTTAATTTTTAGACAAAAATTACCAGATACAAATACCAACATATTACCCTTCTATCAGCAACATTATATACCATATACTGGTACTCTAGATCATTATCTACACAGTTAGCCAATATTGTTATGGACCTGTTTAATGCTAAATATCAGACCAGTTGAAAGAAAAAGATGCCAATCTTAACACACTCACACATCTCTTATCAGACAAATCAAAAATCAGATCTTTATTGTCTCAGAAACAATGGTCCAGCTAGGTATATCAAGTTTCGAACCTCTTTTGTTAGCCAGAAATCAGAATTTTATAACACTCAATCTAAAAAAAAAAAGTGCTATCAACATTTATTTATTTGCATGAGCTAAAAATTTAAATTGTTTAACACGGGATGTAATTCTTACAATTTTTTGTTTTTATTTCATTTGGCGTTGCCTAAAAATTTGAATTTTATAATATTAGACCTAATAAATAAATTATTATATGATGATTTTTATTTCGCATAAGCTAAAAATCTGAATTTTATCTGATCTAATAAATAAAATACTGTCAACATTTTTTGTTCTGTCCTAACCATCACTATGAAACATTTTTCCATCCTGCAAGCATTAACAGGCTGACAAACACACTTCTGGACCATCCATTTTAATAGATGCTTTGCAGAAGACTACTGTCTAATGAGAGACATCCTATTTGATACTATCTGTCTGAAAAAAGGTGAGAAATCCAATCCACTACTCTTAGACTGGGGAGACGGAGAGGAGAGCATTGAAGTATGTTATTTTAAATTCAGCTATCTTCCGAATAACGGTCCTAAATTATCGAGGCAGAAAATATACCCTAACAGGGCATCAGTCACGTGTCAATTGCGCACTTCCGGGGACTATACCCCCACCGCCAAATTGCGAACTTTCGGGGACTATACCGAGAGTATCCCCCACACCGCTCTCGCGGCGTGGATTGGGGCTAAACTAGATGGCTAGGACTAATGAGCAAATAAAATCAGGGCAGCTGCAGGAAATGCGGTTGCTGGTGCTCGTGAGTCCCAGCCATCTAGTTTAGCCCAAATCCATGCCGCGTGAGCGGTGTGGGGGATACTCTCGGCGGTGGCGGAAGTGCGCAATTGACACGTGACTGAGGCCATGTTAGGGTATATTTTCTGCCTCGATAATTTGGGACCGTTATTTGGAAGATAGCCTTAAATTCCTTATTTTCCAAACACAATTTTCAACAACTAGACTTGTCTCCAAAAAAAAAGAATTTTGAGAGCATGCATCTTTCCTGTAGCAACATACAGATGTGAATTATGGACTATCTCCCAGTCCTTAAGAAAGAGAATAGGGGCTTTTGAGCTGAAATAGTATAGAAAGATTCTCAGAATATCTTGGACAAAGAAGAGGAGAAATACTGACATCTTGAAAGATCTGAACATCAAGGAAGATTGGCTAATAAACAGCATCTTGTCTCAGAAGCTGAAATATTTTGGTCATATCAAGTACAACGGAAAAAAAAATTATAGCAGAAGGCATGGTACCAGGAAGGAGGGGCACCGAAACAAAGATGGGCACAAGTTATAAGTGACTCCTTGAGTATGAAAGTATATGAGGCGGGAGAGACTGAGTTTCTTTCAGGCAGACCGTAATGAGAGCAACATTCTGCAAAGGACCTGCTACATGATGATGATGAGACTTGTTCTCACTAACCCTCATGTCAGAAATGTGTCATAACTCTACCATCCTATGATAAATCTTTATGATAATCTTTGGAACTCACATAACAAACAACAGTCAACATTAACAGATACATTGGAATACAGAGACATGTGGCAGCGTAAGTCACGCTAGACAAAGTGACTTCACTCATGTGGCAGCATAAGTCACGCTAGACAAAGTGACTTCACTCATGTGGCAGCATAAGTCACGCTAGACAAAGTGACTTCACTTATGTGGCAGCATAAGTCACGCTAGACAAAGTGACTTCACTCATGTGGCAGCATAAGTCACGCTAGACAAAGTGACTTCACTCATGTGGCAGCATAAGTCACGCTAGACAAAGTGACTTCACTCATGTGGCAGCATAAGTCACGCTAGACAAAGTGACTTCACTCATGTGGCAGCATAAGTCACGCTAGACAAAGTGACTTCACTCATGTGGCAGCATAAGTCATGCTAGACAAAGTGACTTCACTCATGTGGCAGCATAAGTCACGCTAGACAAAGTGACTTCCTCATGTGGCAGCATAAGTCACGCTAGACAAAGTGACTTCACTCATGTGGCAGCGTAAGTCACGCTAGACAAAGTGACTTCACTCATGTGGCAGCATAAGTCACGCTAGACAAAGTGACTTCACTCATGTGGCAGCATAAGTCACGCTAGACAAAGTGACTTCACTCATGTGGCAGATAAGTCACGCTAGACAAAGTGACTTCACTCATGTGGCAGCATAAGTCACGCTAGACAAAGTGACTTCACTCATGTGGCAGCATAAGTCACGCTAGACAAAGTGACTTCACTCATGTGGCAGCATAAGTCACGCTAGACAAAGTGACTTCACTCATGTCGCAGCATAAGTCACGCTAGACAAAGTGACTTCACTCATGTGGCAGCATAAGTCACGCTAGACAAAGTGACTTCACTCATGTGGCAGCATAAGTCACGCTAGACAAAGTGACTTCACTCATGTGGCAGCATAAGTCACGCTAGACAAAGTGACTTCACTCATGTGGCAGCGTAAGTCACTCTAGACAAAGTGACTTCACTCATGTGGCAGCATAAGTCACGCTAGACAAAGTGACTTCACTCATGTGGCAGCATAAGTCACGCTAGACAAAGTGACTTCACTCATGTGGCAGATAAGTCACGCTAGACAAAGTGACTTCACTCATGTGGCAGCATAAGTCACGCTAGACAAAGTGACTTCACTCATGTGGCAGCATAAGTCACGCTAGACAAAGTGACTTCACTCATGTGGCAGCATAAGTCACGCTAGACAAAGTGACTTCACTCATGTGGCAGCATAAGTCACGCTAGACAAAGTGACTTCACTCATGTGGCAGCATAAGTCACGCTAGACAAAGTGACTTCACTCATGTGGGCTTCAACAGATTGTGGGTGTCAAGAAGAAGTCTCACCTTAGCATTGTCAGGACAGACCTTCTCTCCCGCTCTGAACAACCATATGCCTTTCCTCCATTCATTACTTCTCTGCAAAATACATAAAACAACTGCGACTGAAACTAACAAAATAGTTCTTAGCAAAAAAAATATTTCTACCCTTAATTATATTACAAAAAGAGCCCTTTTCTACACCATTAGGCACACTGGGTACATTCGCTAGACCTATACTTTATAGATCAATGAGCACTTGATGAGTGATGTGGTCAGCATCACATCTGCCGCCTTTACTTCCCAGGACTTCACCCAGTACACAGTAAGGCTGGATCGACATAAGGGTCAAGGTCATTTTTGAAAATAAATGGCTTTCTTCCATTGTCGGATAACTTTCCTTGTAGCATGGATTTCTTTCCTTGTTGCATGGATTTCTTTCCTTGTAGCATAGATTTCTTTCCTTGTAGCATGGATTTCTTTCCTTGTAGCATGGATTTCCTTTCTTGTAGCATGGATTTCTTTCCTTGTTGCATAGATTTCTTTCCTTGTAGCATGGATTTCTTTCCTTGTAGCATGGATTTCTTTCCTTGTAGCATGAATTTCTTTCCTTGTTGCATGGATTTCTTTCCTTGTTGCATAGATTTCTTTCCTTGTAGCATGGGTTTCTTTCCTTGTAGTGTGGGTTTCTTTCCTTGTAGCATGTATTTCTTTCTTTGTAGCATGGATTTCTTTCCTTGTAGCATGGATTTCTTTCCTTGTAGCATGGATAACTTTCCTTGTAGCATGGATTTCTTTCCTTGTTGCATGGATTTCTTTCCTTGTAGCATGGATTTCTTTCCTTGTAGCATGGATTTCTTTCCTTGTAGCATGGATTTCTTTCCTTGTAGCATGGATTTCTTTCCTTGTAGCATGGATTTCTTTCCTTGTAACATGGATTTCTTTCCTTGTAGCATGGATTTCTTTCCTTGTAGCATGGATTTCTTTCCTTGTTGCATGGATTTCTTTCCTTGTAGCATGGATTTCTTTCCTTGTTGCATAGATTTCTTTCCTTGTAGCATGGATTTCTTTCCTTGTAGCATGGATTTCCTTTCTTGTAGCATGGATTTCTTTCCTTGTTGCATAGATTTCTTTCCTTGTAGTGTGGGTTTCTTTCCTTGTAGCATGTATTTCTTTCCTTGTAGCATGGATTTCTTTCCTTGTAGCATGGATTTCTTTCCTTGTAGCATGGATAACTTTCCTTGTAGCATGGATTTCTTTCCTTGTTGCATGGATTTCTTTCCTTGTAGCATGGATTTCTTTCCTTGTAGCATGGATTTCTTTCCTTGTTGCATAGATTTCTTTCCTTGTAGCATGGGTTTCTTTCCTTGTAGTGTGGGTTTCTTTCCTTGTAGCATGTATTTCTTTCCTTGTAGCATAGATTTCTTTCCTTGTAGCATGGATTTCTTTCCTTGTTGCATGGATTTCTTTCATTGTAGCATGGATTTCTTTCCTTGTTGCATGGATTTCTTTCCTTGTAGCAAGGATTTCTTTCCTTGTAGCATGGGTTTCTTTCCTTGTTGCATGGATGTCTTTCCTTGTTGCATGGATTTCTTTCCTTGTAGCATGGATTTCTTTCCTTGTTGCACGGATTTCTTTCCTTGTAGCAAGGATTTCTTTCATTGTAGCATGGGTTTCTTTCCTTGTAGCATGGATGTCTTTCCTTGTAGCATGGATTTCTTTCCTTGTGGCATGGATTTCTTTCCTTGTGGCATGGATTTCTTTCCTTGTTGCATGGATTTCTTTCTTGTTAGCATGGATTTCTTTCCTTGTAGCATGGATTTCTTTCCTTGTAGCATGGATTTCTTTCCCTGTAGCATGGATTTCTTTCCTTGTTGCATGGATTTATTTCCTTGTAGCATGGGTTTCTTTCCTTGTAGCATGGATTTCTTTCCTTGTAGCATGGATTTCTTTCCTTGTAGCATGAATTTCTTTCCTTGTAGCATGGATTTCTTTCCTTGTAGCATGGATTTATTTCCTTGTATCATGGATTTCTTTCCTTGTTGCATTGGTTTCTTTCCTTGTAGTGTGGGTTTCTTTCCTTGTAGCCTGGATTTCTTTCCTTGTTGCATGGATTTCTTTCCTTGTAGCATGGATTTCTTTCCTTGTAGTGTGGGTTTCTTTCCTTGTAGCGTGGATTTCCTTTCTTGTTGCATAGATTTCTTTCCTTGTAGCATGGATTTATTTCCTTGTTGCATGGATTTCTTTCCTTGTAGCACAGGTTTCTTTCCTTGTAGTGTGGGTTTCTTTCCTTGTAGCATGGATTTCTTTCCTTGTAGCATGGATTTCTTTCCTTGTAGCATGGATTTCTTTCCTTGTAACATGGGTGTCTTTCCTTGTAGCATGGATTTTTTTCCTTGTAGCATGGATTTCTTTCCTTGTAGCATGGATTTCTTTCCTTGTAGCATGGATTTCTTTCCTTGTAACATGGGTGTCTTTCCTTGTAACATGGGTGTCTTTTCTTGTAGCATGGATTTCTTTCCTTGTAGCATGGATTTCTTTCCTTGTAGCATGGATTTCTTTCCTTGTACCATGGATTTATTTCCTTGTAGCATGGATTTCTTTCCTTGTTGCATGGGTTTCTTTCCTTGTAGTGTGGGTTTCTTTCCTTGTAGCATGGATTTCTTTCCATGTTGCATGGATTTCTTTCCTTGTAGCATGGATTTCTTTCCTTGTAGTGTGGGTTTCTTTCCTTGTAGCATGGATTTCCTTTCTTGTTGCATAGATTTCTTTCCTTGTAGCATGGGTTTCTTTCCTTGTAGTGTGGGTTTCTTTCCTTGTAGCATGGATTTCTTTCCTTGTAGCATGGATTTCTTTCCTTGTAGCATGGATTTCTTTCCTTGCAGCATGGATTTCTTTCCTTGTAGCATGGATTTCTTTCCTTGTTGCATGGATTTCTTTCCTTGTTGCATGGATTTCTTTCCTTGTAGCATGAATTTATTTCACTGTAGCATGGATTTATGTCACTGTAGCATGGATTTATTTCCTTGTAGCATGGATTTCTTTCATTGTAGCATGGATTTCTTTCATTGTAGCATGGCTTTCTTTTATTGTAGCAATGTTTTGTTTCTGTTAACATGGCTTTGTTTCTGTGTAACATGGATTTTTTTCCTCATAGCATGGATTTCTTTCCTTGTTGCATGGATTTATTTCCTTGTAGCATGGATTTCTTTCCTTGTAGCATGGATTTCTTTCCTTGTAGCATGGATTTCTTTCCTTGTAGCATGGATTTCTTTCACTGTAGCATGGATTTCTTTCCTTGTAGCATGGATTTCTTTCCTTGTAGCATGGATTTCTTTCACTGTAGCATGGATGTCTCTTCTTGCAGCATGGCCATAGCATTTCCTACTTTCATTGTAGCATAGCTTTCTATACTTGTAGCATAGCTTTCTGTTCTTTACTGTCCACTATGTCCAGACTGTTGGTTGCTTGTCTCTCAAATAGATGCACTCCGACTTTGAAGGACATGTTGATCCTATCTACAATGGCCAGTCCCCGATTGGGAACCTATTTCTAGGATGCCACAAAAAGTTGTGGACACCTTCCTAGACGCCTGCCTCTCAGATAGATGCACTCCGACTTTGAAAGACATATTGATCCTATCTACAATGGCCAGTCCCTGTTTGGGAATCCATTTCTAGGATGCCACAAAGAGTTGTGGACACCTTCACTGGTATCAGCCCTGGTATACCACAATGTGTGGTTCAGCAGCTCTGTAACATGGCAGCAAGAAACAAAACAAAATATAATGATCATACCTGTGCTGATCTGGCAGCAAACAGAAGAATCAGTAGAACAAACCCAGCCAAAGCAACCTGCAGAAGACAATGTATACTAGTGATTGATGGTCTTCCTGACCCAGCTACATAAAGTCCTTACTATGTGTCACATATACTGGTACTGGCCCTGGGTACTCTGCAGGCAGCACAGAACCATACCAGCTTGGTTACTCCAACATAGGAGGAGATGAACAAGCCAAGATGGAATATCATTAGGACATTAATACAGTATTATAATAATAATAATAATAACTGGACCCAATGGAGGAGGACAGGACTCACCATCTTGATATCAAATATGTTAAACTAGACCACAAGAGAATTACCCCTTTATACATATCACAATCACAGCCTAAATTAGGATGACAGACAGACAGACAAAAAGGACAACCACTCAAACAAAAAGACTAAAATACCAGTCCCAAACATGCAAAGATGGACAAGACTCACTGGTAGAGTCACTTAGCTATTTATAATACCTGACAAAACTACTGAAGCCATTAAATTTGGCACAAATAATATATCTTAGTCAATACATTGGGCACAGAGACGTCAGACTATAATTATAACTAAAACTGTTCGCAGTAGGTTGAATGTGGTCGACTTTTTAATTTTTCTTGAACATCTTATGGACTGGTACACACATGGCAGATTGTTGTTGTTGTTGTTTTTGCTAATATGTTGCATAAACAGGTAGGTATGTATTGTACCCCCACCAGGACATCACACAAGCGATAAACGCCCGGTCACACAAAGTGCCACCATGCGGATGAGGATCACCCGAGGAGAGGTCCCGGAAACCCTGTTCAGCCGTTAGACCCTATTTCAGGCCCGGCTATATTTAAGGCCCTCGGCAAAAGCCAGGGTGGGGCATCAAAATAACATAAAACTGCAACCCACATGGGGATGACAGTATAATTGCATAAACACAAACAAAAGCACTTTTATCTGTCATTCCTCCTTTACACATGAGTATGGAAGTATCCTATTTTATGCTTTAACATACAACTGAATACACATCGGGATGTAGAGGTAGTTCACCAAGACCAGGGCTCATCCTAGTCAAGACCTATTAAACAGGTTCAGTAATCCTAGAAACAGGTTCAGTAATCCTAGAAACAGGTTCAGTAATCCTAGAAACAGGTTCAGTAATCCTAGAAACAGGTACAGTAATCCTAGAAACAGGTTCAGTAATCCTAGAAACAGGTCTAGTAATCCTAGAAACAGGTACAGTAATCCTAGAAACAGGTTCAGTAATCCTAGAAACAGGTTCAGTAATCCTAGAAACAGGTTCAGTAATCCTAGAAACAGGTTCAGTAATCTTAGAAACAGGTTCAGTAATCCTAGAAACAGGTACAGTAACCCTAGAAACAGGTACAGTAATCCTAGAAACAGGTTAAGTAATCCTAGAAACAGGTTCAGTAATCCTAGAAACAGGTTTTCCAGAATAGAAAGTCACAGGTGTGCTTTTAGCATTAATCAAGTGACACACACAAAAACAGCTCTGTAAATTCATTAGGTGAGAACTGCCACAATTGCACTTACATGAATCTGGCATATTGCCAAAGATAAATATATATATATACACACACACACACACACATACATATATATATATATATATGTGTGTGTGTGTGTGTGCGTGCATGCGTGCGTGGGTGTATATTTATATATATACATGTGTGTGCATGGGCAGGTGTGTGTGTGTGTGTGGTGTATGTGAAGGAACCCTTTCTACACTTTCAGATGTACAGTGTTAACCTATCTTTTATAGACCAATTGTCATTTGGTGAGTGATGTGGTTAACATCGCGTCAGCCCCCTCTATTTCTCTGGACTTTTCTGACAGCCGTTTAAATCAGGGTCAACCTGGGAGCTACGACCTTCGAATTCGCAGGTGACAGCACCCGAGTGTTGTGTGTGTGTGTGTGTGTGCGCGCGCGCGTGCGTGTGTGTGTGTGTGTGTGTGTGTGTGTGTGTGTATGTCTTAATTTGCTGTAGTAAAACCCCACAGTTAACTTGTGTGAACAGAAAATTAAAGACCTCATAAGGTCCAAAGATGACTCCAAAAAAACAACAGCTAGCAAACCTGATAGTAAGACTTACCTCTGTTAGCCTGGGGTAGCTGCAGATTCTCCGGAGCCCAAGAACAACCAACAAACAGAACCCCGCTGATGGAAGGTACAACACCCTTTCTGCAACCACAAACCCCACACGGAAGAGAATATTGGTGGCAGGCAAGAAGGGCACCACAATGACAGCCATAGCTAAACTCACAGCTCTAGTAGGATAATCAAACGCAGTGATTAATTTTAAAACAGTCATATTCAAAAACTAATTGTAATTCTAGAATCATAAAAATTAATGTTTGATTTAAAAATGTTATTTGATTTGCATGGTGTTATTTAAAAACTGTAATTGTGGCTCTAGAATAAGTGAAATTAGTATCTTCTTCTTCTGATAGTTCTGCATTCATCTGAAGGTGTAAAATGTGTCGTGTCTGTTTACAACATGGCTGCAATATTTGCGTCTTTTGGCCGATGCATCTGACTTCTGCAGACATTTGCTGCCCAAGTTAGCCATCAAGAAAATTAGTATCTGATTTGCCAAACTAGTTATTAAATATTGTTTAAGCACTTAGTTTATTTTTTTAAATTGTGTTACATAAAACTAATAGTTGGTCTACAAGTAGTATTTGATTTGAAAACACAAAGATACTCAAACAATTAAATATTGAGATGTCTGAAGTAGAAGGAAGCGAGGAATTAAACCAGTTAAACAATTCATTACAGAACGCCTTAGTATTAGTTACCAGTTATGTGGAAGAAACATAATAAGCACAGTACAAGGGCAAAACCATGGAACGATGGCATCAAGACAACCTGAGCATTTAAGGGTTGGAACAATGGCATCAAGTACAACTTAAGCTTGTGAAAGATGGAATGATGGCATCAACAGCAACCTGACTGGGTAAATTATGGAACGAGCAAGATGGAATAAAGAACAAACTGACCATGCAAAATATGGAATGATGGCATCAAGAAAAACATGACCATGTATAAAACAGAATGATGGCATCAAGAACAACTTGATCATACAAAGGATGGAATGATGGCATCAAGAACAACTTGATCATACAAAGGATGGAATGATTGAATCAAGAACAACCTTACAGAAATTAATACCAAATACTGCAAGCTACAACAGGGGTACAAGTTAACAAGACTTGTTTTTCCTCAATGTACGGTTATGTTATTTGTTTACAACATCCTAGTACATAGGTCTGACTCATTCGTGTTCCGTCCTCTGATGCAGCAGCCCTCTCAGTATCTCCATGTTTAATGCACCCAGTAAGAGTTGAGTGGCACATCTTCTTTCTTTGCCTACAACCAGTTTCTACATGCTTTACATGCTTGATGCTGTTTAAAATCCATTTTCAACATGCAGTGCAGCCTCTGATTAATCTGTCTCAACCTCTTTGGAACACAGCCTATTCAGTATATCTGCCCTGTCCATACTTCTTTCCCAACTAATTACTGCAGACACTGTCGGCTGTTTTCTTTCCTTTGTATCCTGGTGTAACAGCCAAGATAGTTTCTTGATAAATTGATAAATTCTCGATGCTGTCAACCGATTCTTGTTGGAGTCTGCTAGTCTGGATCTTCTTAACTCTTTCAGGCCCATGAATTTTGACAGACTTGGCCCACATTAATTTCCCTTTACAAAACTGGCAGAGGGGTGGGTGTACAAGAAAGGCTGTAGAGACTGTAATATACTTCTAATCCCTATAACAGTTTATATTTTTTAAACGAGAAATGAGTGTACATTCTGAATCTGATGATAAGTGTTTGTTTATTTTTGTTATAGTTAGTGGAAAAGCAGAATTCAGCAGGTGTTAATTTCACAAGGACAACTTTTCACACAAAAATTCTTCACTTACCATGGTTTTGCAGCCACAAGAATAGTAAATATCCAAATTTCAGAACAAAACTTCAAAGTTTGTTCAATGTCCTAACATATTCTAAAGTTATGATAACTTTCTGGGTTAGTTTATCACTCAGGGGCTCTTAGTTTCCACCGAGTGCTAAGCAAAATGTCAGAGAAAAAATGGCAGAAAAATGAGCCATAACACACACACTATTTACTATTCACTTTGTACAGTTATTTACAGACTGTAGCTGCGATGATTTCAATGTGGCTTAGCCATAGTATAGTACTATCTCTTTGTTTAGAGCACTTTCCTTCTCTTACACCATAAATACGGTAGTATGGGACATTGTCTGTGTAATAAACTCGTCAGAATCGCTAGATTCCGAACAGCTGATCGCTCAGCTTCACTGGTGAAAATTCACTGTCTGAATCACTTTCCAAAAAATCTAAATTGTTATTATCATTTTCACAATTAAAAACATCTGACTGAAACAATTTCAGAGCTTCGGCCGCAGAAAGACGCATTCTGCGACCTGTTCTTGTGGTTAGAACATTGGTATTCAGTGCACTCAAAAACGAACTTAGAAAATAAACTGTTAAAAAAAAAATTTATGTTTTTTTCTCTCAAATTATCCACGTGTGTTTTAGTTCAAGAAGTGAAACTAAAAGGATTTCGGCAGAGTGACTTTCCCTGAATAGGTTATTCGTACCTCCAAACATTAGAAACTAGTACGAACGCGCATGCAAAGAAAAATGTAAGAGATACACGATTAACGATGACACTGTTGTTTGGGCAGAACAGAACTTCTCAAACTACGCTCACACCGTTGTTTGGGCCTTAAAGAGTTAAGCATGCTTATTGAGTCTGTCACTATTGATGCATGAGTTCTTTTCTGTTCCATCAGCCATGCAAGTGCCCTTGTGACAGCTACTATTTTCACTGTCATACTAGAAGTAGCTGAACTGAATGCCTGACTTCTTCTATTGTCTTCCCCTTCCCCTGCAAAGTGTATGCCCACTCAGACACACACCATGAACCATGCAGCCAACTGTTCAGATGATGACGAGTTATTAGGTACAAATGGTAAAGTATGATAAAAGAAAGAACTCTTTTCCACATCTTGAGGCATAAGAGGCATATGGTGCTATATAGCAATGCTCCATTCAAAAATCACACTTAACCTGCCTCACCTGGATCTTCACACCTGGTCATGCGGGGGTAAAGGGAAATGAGCGAGCAGACCAACTGGCAAGCACCGCACTAATGATTGCGGGAAGAAGCATGGACAGAGCAGATATCGTCAACGCTGTACGGACTGGGCTAGTGGATGATGAGGAATCCCTGACACTAACACGATTGCGTGACATGGGATGAAAAGCACAGTGAAGCACGTCTATGCCGTCTTCGAGGCCGAGATAGGAAACAATATAACCAGCTTCTTATGGAAACAATTAGTAAAAGTACTTTGGAGTGACTGCTGCATTAGAGCACTCAGCATGCACGGAAATGCCCAATGTGCAGTGAAGTGGATTGTGATAACATAACATAACAAAGCAATGCTCAGCTTGTTGTTTGTCACCACAAGTGATGAGGATCACTCTTTCTTTCATCAGTTATGAAACTACAGTCGACGGTCAGTGAGTCCAGAAGTGACTTATAAGCCCAATACGTGCCCGGAAGGATCTAGGACATATAAGCCCAATACGTGCCCGGAAGGATCTAGGACAATGAGGGCACAGAACAATGTCTGTAGATAAAAGGTCTGTTATAGGGGTTTTCTAGCCTACCTGTGTTGTTCAGCTGCCCTTTTTTATGGATGCCTTGCAAGTTGCTGCACTTTTCTGGATAGATGTTCGCTATATGATTCAGTCCTTTGCAGCAGCCTTCCAAGTGTCAGGGTTTATATTGAAGGCATTCTCAGCTCATATGCCCACCCAAGTCAGAAGGTCTACCCTTCTGGTAAAGAAAGGTGTCTTTTTATTTGTGTACAGTGCAGAGTTATGAATAATTCATAGTGTTTGCCTCATGTGATAAATGATTTTTCTTCTTATTTACGTGCATCAGCTGTAACAGCAACGGAAAGTTCTGGTACTTCATCCACTTCTGGACTTTTGTCACAGAACTTGAGTTTTGCATGCACATCTGTTTTACAGATCTTATTTATTTGTAGGCAGATTGCCGGTCCCTCAACTCACAGGCACATGCACTGCGACTTCAAATGAAACACTCCTAATTAGTCGACTTTTATGGCATGCTTTTATAGAGGCAGTGGGTCGATTCTTCTTCTCCTTAAAATGAGGAACACATGATTCATGTCAGTACCTTCTGGTGGCTATACTTTCATTGCACAAGCAAGTCCACAACAGTAGCAGCAACATGACCCAAAATAGCATCACTGCAATCAGGCGAGGGTCATCAAGGGAGGCAATTGTAGGCACACAACCCATCGACCAGTCGAAGCACAACCACTGTGGGCACAACAGTATCCAGGCATTGATGGCATACAGGTAGTTGTAGTTCAAGACCTGAGGATAATAACTGATACTAAGTGTCAATAACAAGAGCTCGACAGTGTCACTGACTTAAACATTTTGTAAACATAAAACAAATTCTTCTTCCTCTTCTTAAAGTTCACTGGCTGTCAACTCTCTTTAAAACCTCTGGTTGTTCATCCATTTCTGGACTTCGATCATGAGTTTTGCGTGCACATTTTTTTTTACATATATGGCTTACTTACATGCAGACTGTTGGTTCCTCGTCTCTCAGGCAGATGAACGCTGACTTCAAAGGAAACTTCCATAATTAGTCGCCTTGTATGACATGCTTGTTTAGGGGGTCTACTATTCTCTCTCCCCCCCCCCCCCCCCCCCCCCCCAAAACCCACATAAGAAAAACAAATTCAGGCATGAGTGTTTTGATTATTAAAATAAAAGTAAGAAAAAAAAAGTGCAGGATCTGAGAAGTTTCCTTAAGACAACAGAAACAATGAGTCCAACATCCATCCATCATGTAGCAGGTCCTTTGCAGAAAGTCGCTCTCATCACAGTCTGCCTGTAAGAAACTCTGTCTCTTGCCAGTTCTCCCGCCTCATGAACTTTCACACTCAAGGAGTCACTTATATCCTGTACCCATCTTGGTGTCGGTCGGCCCCTGCTTCTCCTTCCTGGTACCATGCCTTCTGCTATAATTTTTTCCCAATCCGTCGTGGCGCTTGATATGACCAAAATATTTCAGCTTTTGAGAAAGGATGCTGTTTATTAGCCAATCTTCCTTGATGTTAAGATCTTTTGAGATGTCAATATTTCTCATCTTCTTTGTCCAAGATATTCTGAGAATCTTTCTATAGCATTTCAGCTCAAAAGCCCCTATTCTCTTTCTTAAGGACTGAGAGTCCACGACTCACATCCGTATGTAGCCACAGGGAAGATGCATGCTCTCGAAATTCTAATTTTTATCTCCTTGCTGGTGCTTAACCAGACTTTTAAGGCTGTTCAATCTTTGCATTGCTATGGCCATCCTCCTTTTAATTTCTGTCGAACAGTCTCCATTGTTGTTTATTACAGAGCCTAGATTTTCAAAGTGTGTGACATTTTCAATTTCTTCATTATTTATTGTTATTTTTGGGTGACAGCCAGTTTTATCTGTGGACATTATTTTCGTTTTCTTTAAATTCAAGAACAGATTTTTATCTTCACTGTGCTTTTGGACGGACAATATTAAATTTTCTATTCCCTTTACGCTGTTCGAAAGGAGGACTGTGTCATCTGTGTAGCAGAGTTCCGGAATAGGGTTGCCACCAATACTGAGCGGATCATAACTGTCACAAGTCTGGTCATTTTTGACATTTCTCATTATATTTTCTGCGTATATATTGAATAGGTATGTCTTACATATGAAGAGTATTATTATGAAAATGGACACAGTTCAAAATTTGAATTGTGTGATGACTCTGTTTTGTATAGTGGACCATGCTCAAAGAAGGCCGAGCAGAAAACCTGTGCAAGAGACAAAAGCAGGGGAATACTCCGGGCTAGAGTTATGAAGGAGGAAAAACCTGAGGTTGGCTCATGGTCAGTTGCATACCAGAGTTCGACAAAGACGGTTGTTGCATTTGAAGACATAGAATATAGGATAAATGAGTATTACATAGTTTAACTGTGATCACCAGGAAAGGATTGATGTTGAATAACTGGGTTGGTGGAGAAATGATGATAAACTACAATAAGCTGATAGAATGCATATTGGAATTCAAGTGCCGATTCAGTGTTGTCAATTGTAGACAGTAACAACATTAGAACACGTAACATCATTACAAGTGTAAACGAGCTTTATCACAAATAATAGAATATGTCTATTATTAATGATGAAACAAATAAGGATTCCTACCCTGAAGAGAGATCCATTAACAAATGAATGAGGGTTGTCATGTATCTGAAATGTCGGCGGTGATGACCCCATAACTTTCCACCGAACTACCAACAGTATTACACCGGTAGCAGTAAGCAGAATGTGCCGCTTCACAAGTGATACCTGCCACGGTGCCACTGATCCACATTCCTGGGGAATTCACATAAAAGATGTCAACAGTATTGCTATTAATAAATGCTCTGTATATAAGCTATTTGGGAATATAGGATGAATGTTAAGAAACAGCAGATGATGAAAGGGTAGTAGATGAAAAACAAAGGAGAATAAGAGAAAACAATTAACAAGAAGAGGTAGACATAAAAGAAGAAAACAAAGAACCAGAGAAAAAAAAGAAGAAGATGAAGACAAATGAAGAAGAAACAGGAGATGTAGGTAGAGAAGCTGAGAAAAAAGATGAAAATAAAGGTAGGGAAGAAGCTTGGCCTGTAGTCAAAAATGGGGCTCAAAGACAAAATAGAGGGTGACAGTAGACAAAGAATATGAAGAAGAGTAAAAGGGTAAGGAAACAGTAGGAAAGAAAATAAGAATGAAGAGAATAAAAAGAAGAAGAAGATGATAAAAAGAAGAAGATGATGAGGAAGAGGAAGTGTAAGAATTGTTTTTTTTGTTGTTAATGTAGTGAAGAAAGTGCAAAACAAAGGTTAAAGGTGTGAGGATCGACTTCACTGAAGTAGATTTTAATCTCACATGACAATCTCTTTCTGCAGAATGGCTAGTTCTTGCCAAGAGTGTCATACAAAGCACAAACTAAATAGCTCTGGCCATGATCACCTAGAGTCTCCATAAAAACTGCTCCCATGAACCGAAAGCTGCCAATGTGAAACGAACTCACAACCTCTAGAGCGCAAGGCAAACAGCTCGACTACTATGCCAAAGCAACAATCTGAATGTTCAAAACAACTTGTTATAAACACACATGACTACATTACTTAGTCACAAAGGACAAACACACATATATAACAATACACAGCAAACTTCCATTCTCCCCACAAACCTTTTTTAATGAAGCTCCATTGGACAGAGATGAAGATGCTGAAGGCACAGGCTTCTGCACAGACACGGACAACTTTGTGCCTGCTGATTTTGTGAATCCAAGCAAGACTCCGAGGTCCACACCGCAAACAGATACAATATCATAAACACTGCAAAGTCCCTGTAAGAAAAACACTGATATGATAGATACAACATCTCACACAATGCATTCTTTTTCTTCTTCAGTCTTGTTCTGCCTTTCAGCATCAGGTTTTGAAGAGGCATCAGGTGTAAGCCTTGATATGTGCTATGTAGACCCTGGTATTTACAGCCTCAGATATTCCATCTATCCATCGCTTGTGTGGTCGACCTCTATTTCTGCTTACATTATGTCTGAATGACAAGGCTCTCTGTGGTGCTGTATCTGGTGGTAGGCTTGACTCAGGTCCAAAAACCATTTGATCTGTTCCTACAATGCATACTATCAGAAACAAAAACACAGTTGGATACATCATCAAAACCAATGCATACAACCAGTAACAAAAACAGATGGATACATCATCAAAAACAATGCATACAACCAGTTACAAAAGCACAGAAGGATACATCATCAAAAACAATGCATACAACCAGTTACAAAAGCACAGAAGGATACATCATTAAAATCAATGCATGCAACCAGTAACAAAAACACAAATGGAAACATCATCAAAAACAATGCACACAACCAGTAACAAAAACACAGATGAATACAACATTATAGACAATGGTAAGTCTCCTGGTGCTTCATTGGGTCAGTATAGTTTGATGTATAAGAGGACAATGGTGTGCAGTTTTGTTGGCCTAGCACACTTGTGCACGGTTAGGAAAGATGCAATGAAGATGCTTATCCAGGCAAATGTCCTGAGGCGAAAAAATGGTGATGTGTCCTCATCAGTAAGGACATAATTGTTGGATTAATTGTGTATCATGTTGACATGGATGAAAATGTCTTATATACATAAGATTTCATCACATTATTAACCTAATTGGCAGTGCAGGGGTTAGATCAGTGGTTCTCAACCTATGGGTCATGACCCTTTTGTGGGTCGAACAAGCCTTTTACAGGGGTTGCCTAAGACCATAGGAAAACACATATACACTGAAGTTATGAAGTAACAACAACATTAATTTTTCGGCTGGGGGTCACCACAACACTTGGAACTGTATTAAAGGGTTGCAGCATTAGGAAGGTTGAGAACCACTGGGTTAGATGCTTACCCGCCTGCCTCAAGGTCTTGGGTTCAAATTCGCAAAAGGTGGATTTTTGTTTGTTACAAAGGGACCTTGGCTCCCAGCTCAACCCAGCAAAACAGTGGCAGCAGGCAATGTCCTGGGAAGTAATGGGGGCTGGCATGATGTTGACATCATCCACTGTGTGCCGACTGTGAGTCAATCATCACATTCTAGATATGACACTGACGTAAGACGCATCACATTCTAGATATGACACTGACGTAAGAAGCATCACATTCTAGATATGACACTGACGTAAGACGCATCACATTCTAGATATGACACTGACGTAAGAAGCATCACATTCTAGATATGACACTGACGTAAGATGCATCACATTCTAGATATGACACTGACGTAAGACGCATCACATTCTAGATATGACACTGACGTAAGACGCATCACATTCTAGATATGACACTGACGTAAGACGCATCACATTCTAGATATGACACTGACGTAAGACGCATCACATTCTAGATATGACACTGACGTAAGAAGCATCACATTCTAGATATGACACTGACGTAAGACGCATCACATTCTAGATATGACACTGACGTAAGAAGCATCACATTCTAGATATGACACTGACGTAAGACGCATCACATTCTAGATATGACACTGACGTAAGACGCATCACATTCTAGATATGACACTGACGTAAGACGCATCACATTCTAGATATGACACTGACGTAAGAAGCATCACATTCTAGATATGAAACTGACGTAAGAAGCATCACATTCCAGATATGCCACTGACGTAAGATTGGCCTTTTGCTTTATTAACAAACTAATTTCCAAGCTACGCAAATCACTTGGTTAAAAACTGCTACTCACAAGAACTGTAATTCCTTGTTCCTTGCTGAATGTTGCCAGGCCACAAAATATCAAACTGGCGCACAACCAGATGAAAGAGAAACCCTTAGGACGGAACTCTGAATCTGCGTTTAGATTATCATCATAAATGTAGCTAAATATTCATTATGATTAGAACATGAAAAACTTCAAGTGAGGATACTGGCAGTCTGGTTCTGTTGTTCCTTGTTTTTTGTGTTCACCGGATGTAAACCACGGCGGATAGACCTGGTTGTTTGTCCATTTCTGGACTTCGGCTTTGTTCCAGAACCTGAGTTTTGCGTGTGCATCCATTTTACAGATCTTGCTTATTTGTAAGCAGATGGTTGGTTTGTTGTTTCTTAGGCAGATGCACTCTGACTCTGAAGGAAGCCCCCAATAATTTGACTCGTACAACATGCTTGTTGGGAAGGCAGTGGGTCTATTCTTGTTTTCCCCACAGTGGGACCCCAAAATCCACAGGGGAAGACTGGTTCTAAAAATAATGGTTACTGGCAGAGCTTTTTCTAGGAAAAGGTGCTGGTAATCATAACAAGATGTCTATAACATGCTAGTACTCACTACAAAGTGTCTATTACAGTAGTGCAGAAAAAAAATTATGCCCAAATTAAAGGTGCTGGTAATGCACACTGTTGCATACCATCTGAAAAATCCTGGTTTCTGTTGAACAAAGGGACCCCACCTAAAAGTATGAAGCAAAGGGGGCATAATTGTGTTGTTTTCATTCATGCACAAGTTTTGCTGGTTTAACCAACTTCTCTAGCCATTTACAACAGCCCTATAGCTAAAGTTTCAACTTCAGCTCTGTCCGACTACATCTAACAACAGGTAAAACTATAAGTTGGTAGTCATATTTGACATTTTCAATATTCCTATAGTCAAGTGTTGTGGTCACATTATAATGTTTTTCTGATATTTTGTAAATTATGACTTTCTGATTAACCCTGACAGTAACAAAAGTGGCTGCAACGAGAGGAACACAACTTCAACATCAACAACAACCACTATAACATTATCTACCAAACTGCCTTAACTGTCTCTATTTACCACTTTTGCAGGGTTCTTTTTTGTTTAAGCCTGGCTGTTGCCATGGTCTGTCATCTTTCAAAGATGATAGTTGCACAGTGGAAGCAGCTGTCAGCTGAGAAGCCTGATTTCTCAAGTGTGCTCTAACCAAATGTAACAAATTTACAGGCAAAAGAAATAACTTCAAGGAGCAAGGTGTTTATCCCATATGGCTCAGTCTCTCTCAGGAAAGCACCCTAAAAACCATAGATTCTGCAGCTCCAACAACAACCCTTATAAACTCTTGAAACATCAGCTCCCTAAAAATGAAGGATGTGGTTAATAAACAATCAATTCCACAACAAAATGAGCATGAAGCAAACCACTCAAGCACTTTGCCACGGGGACAAGTATGAGAACATATTATGTAATGGGTAGGATTCACCTAAAAGTGATAATATAAACATCATATATTGCTTAGAAACGAAAGGGTTACAGCTTGGTCTTTTTCCGCACAGCGACTAGCCGCCTGCCAAGAGCATCGCACAAAGCGCAAACTCCATAGCTCTGGCGACGATCCCCAGGGGTCTCCATAAAAATTGCACTCGTGAATAGAATAATACAGCTGTGAAACGAACCCATGACCTTCACAGTGAGAAGAAAACAGCTTGACAACTTCAACAGGAAAAGTTACAACAACAAATATGAAAATAAAAATAGTAAAGAAGTATACATTAAACTGTCGGGTTAACAGAATTATATGAAATGATGATCACAGTGCAGCAGGGTCTAATTATAGGTAAACAGACAGAATGTTTGTATTTTATGTACAATTTTTAGAACCCTTTTGCATGAAAACAGTGCTAACAAATACAATTTGACTTAACAACCAGTTCACCTTAAACCTGTTAACTGGACTGGGTCATAACAAGTCAAGGAAACCCTGTATTTATAAATATTTAGTAAAAGACTCTTTCAGTGCCAGTGATGTTGAATGTTGAATTAGGAATCGACATCACAGCACTCGGGACCCTCCCAAAAGTACTCCGTCCCCATCTTCAGCAGCAAGCAAAGAGTTATTATTCTGATGGTACCAGTAACCGTCTGATTGTATATCCGTCTCATCCTTCCCCTGAGTGTTAAGGGTCGGCCACATCCCCTGGTCACTCCTCGGAGTGTCATTCTCCTCAGACCGTAATGATCTATCTGAGCCTCCGCACTCTTCACTCAGTGCCAGTGATTTACTGGGCATATGGTGCTAGAATCATATTGTTTGACAGGCCAGCTGGCACTCTGCGGGTGATAGGGTCAACATCACATGGCTGCCTCTTTTTTCATTTTTACTTCCTGTCCCCCATTTTAGATGGGTGGATCTGAGAGCCAAGGTCAACTGTTTCTGTTTTTCAAATCCACCCACTGCAGTTCCAAACCCAAGACTTTCGAGCCAGCAGATCAGCATCATAGCTACAACATACTTTCCGCTTTGTCTGTTGAATAAGGGTTTTTTTTATTTCTATTTCTTTTACTTCTTTCTTGTGAAGGTTTTTCCAGCTGTTAACTAATAACATGGTGACACTATGAAGAAACAGTATTAGAAATGGTATAACCACACACCTTAGGTATAGCTTGTACTAGAAATAGTTTGTAAAGATAACTGTTTGGACACAGCCCTCATGACTACACTTACCCCTGGTACAGGCTTTTACATACAACAGGAATGAGGTGATGAAAAATAAGGCACAAAGCAGTTCAGCACGGCCAACAACACCAGCCACCTAAGATCATACGAACAGATCTATAAGCTTGTCAGATCATTGTGTGGTGCATTATTTAGCATTAGCAGATGTGTATGGATATTTCTGTGAAACATCTCTACTTTCAGATAGGTAATATTTGTGTATTCTTGTTTGTAATTGTACGAGGGGAAGTTAGTAAGTGAGTCACAAACAGTTATGGGATGGCAGAAAAATGTAGTTGGGGGTTTCTAAAGATGTCATTAGGTAATAGCAACACTGAACTTTCTGTCTCTGTTCGTTAGATGGTGCTAGGTGGTGCATGCGCATTCGCAACACAGAAAAAAACAATGGTGACTGCACTCAAGGAGTGTACCCTCAACGAACAATATGCTGTTGTGTTTTTATTGGGGAGGGGAGGGGGCAAAAGGGCTGCCTGCAAATTAAATTCATAAGGAAATGCTTCCTGTTTTTGCTGACAAATGTTTTTCCGTAAAGCCCTCCACTGAAAACCCACCTTGACGGTAGAAATTTCATGAATGATGCAAAAGTTAAATGTGAAATGATAATGTTGTTTAGAAAACAGTGCACGCAGTTCTATGCAGCAGGTTTGGGAGGACTGATAAAACGATGCGACAAATGCATCAATGTTGGTGGAAATTATGTTGAAAAATAAAGTGACTGTGTGTGTAAAAATTACATTTCATGAATGTCTAATTCTGTTCACTTGTTTTAGTTATGTGTTTATTATTTTGAACTGTTCATATAAAAATAATTTCACTAAAATCGAAGCAATCATGAACAAGTCTACAGATAAAACAGGGCTTGGTGTCAGTTGGCTGTCTATACTCCACTGGGAGATTATGAGCACTAAACAAGATTAACTGGAAGGGATCAATCTAATATTGGTACAAGCAATTACTACTACACCACAACTCCCTTGGTATATGCTAGGTGCACAAGATTATTTCAAGACCATAAGGGTCAACATGCTAAAGGTAGAAGAAAAGTAGCAAAGAAAGATAATTTTATCTTTTGTATTTAGATCAGTAAACAAAAGTTGTTTATTCCCCAGTCGAGCATAGGCCCTTGACCAAGGCATCATTTTGTTTGTCATGTGTACAACCATGTCTTTCCCATCAGATTTAAAAAAAAAATCTTTTCTCTATCTGTATTTATGGCTGCCTTTATTCCTTTGACCCTGCATGGTCAGATTTTCATAATGTGTGTCTTAATTTATACATGCATCTTTTTCTCACCTCTTCATCATCATCATCATGTGCCCTGCCAACTGGCGTAGACACTCATGCATCTTAAAAGATCATGATCCTTGGCTGCCTGGAACAGCTCTCTTGATGATTTCCCTCCATGCCATCATTTCAGCCCATCCAGCATCATCTCTCTTGGTCTGCCTCTACCCCTTTTTCCACCGATCTTTCTAGTTGTCACAATGTTCTACAATGTCTCTCTTTTCATTATGTGACCAAAGAACAGTGTTTGTCTCTTTCTTATTGTTGTATATAGAGATCTACTTTCATTAGCTTCTTTCAAGCAATTGTTGTTAGTTATTCTTGCCATCCATTCGTAACACTAGTCTCAGAAACCACATCTCTGTTGCTTCCAAATTCTTCTTAATTTGTTCACTGACATTCCAAGTCTCACCTCTTGATTTATTGGAATTAGTTTTCTTTCAAAGCTGCATTTTAGTATTCTATCTTACCATTTAATTCCCTCTATTTTGTCCTGGGACCAAATAATAAATTGTGTTACCATTTTCACAACGAATGTTAGCTGCAATGGTTCTTTAGCATACTGTGTCTCTTGTCTTGGTAGTACACTCTCAAACTGCTGTTTGTCCATCTCTTGATGCAGCCTTCCCCCTTTGCAATATTGTCTACTTCTTTCTCTCTTGCTCTTGACCCTTCCCTCCAGTATAGTTCTAAAGAGTGTTATGTCTTTTAATGTGGCCAAATTATCTTAATTATCTCATTTTTGAAATTTCTTTCATCAACTCTCTTTTTATTCCCAATCTCTTCAGAACCTGTCTTGACTGTTTTTGTTTCCATAAAATTTCATCTGTTCTTTTCTGTAGATCCACATCTCCAGAGACTCCATTTGATTTCCTAGTTGCTTCGATGCTGCAGTTTATTAGTAATTATGCTAGACATTTTTCATGTTTTACCCCATACAGTTACTCTTTCTTTTTATCTGCATTCATTGGCTGTAAAGACTGGCAGAAAGTTCTGGTTGTTCATCCACTTCTAGACTTTGGCCCGTCCCAGAGATCTCTTCCTGCCCTGATGCCAGAACTTGAGTTTGCATACAAATTCTTTTTACAAATCTGGCTAATCTGTATGGAGACTGTTGGTCCCTTGTCTCTCAGGCAGATGCATTCTGACTTTAAATGAAACACCCCTAATTAGTCAACTTTTAAGATATGCTTGGTGGAATGGCTGGGAGGAGGAGGGGGGGGGGGGTGTGCATCTATTCTTTTTTCCCCTACAATGTCAATCAGATACTACACCAGGGCATACAGCAGTATATTTACTCACACCAGGGCATACAGCAGTATATTTACCCACACCAGGGCATACAGCAGTATATTTACCCACACCAGGGCATACAGCAGTATATTTACCCACACCAGGGCATACACCATATATTTACCCACACCAGGGCATACAGCAGTAGATTTACCCACACCAGGGCATACAGCAGTATATTTACCCACACCAGGGCATACAGCAGTATATTTACCCACACCAGGGCATACAGCAGTATATTTACCCACACCAGGGCATACAGCAGTATATTTACCCACACCAGGGCATACAGCAGTATATTTACCCACACCAGGGCTTACAGCAGTATATTTACCCACACCAGGGCATACAGCAGTATATTTACCCACACCAGGGCATAAAGGAGTATATTTACCCACACTAGATAAGACAGTGTCACAAAGTTACTCACACTCTCCGTGTGGACTGGATGAACTGCAAACAAGATACTGCATAAGAATGGCCACTTTGCTTCAGCATGCTTTGATTCCCCACCAGAAGCACCAACATCAACCATGACAAGGGTGAAGCATGGCATCAACAAAGCACTAACAACTCCATGTAGGAGAATATTAACAATATGAAAGCCTTTGGGAAACAAGCCTCCAGCTGCCCAATAGTTCCATCTGAAGGTGAGAACAGGTAAGTTGATTAAATCAGGTAATACACTGTTCAACACAATATTCTTACCAATGCTATGCTATCAATGTCAAACAAGGACACTGTCTTCAGAAGACAGAAGGAAAATAGTCACAACAGAAATGAAATATTTATGTACTATGCTAGGTGTAACGTGGAAAGATCAACCTAGGGACAATGATATCAGCAGAAGAGTCGGCACAGAACCGATACTGAACTTTTTACGCAGATAACAAATCAAATGGTTTGGCCATGTAACACGATTGGCAGCAGACAGGGCACCACAGAGAGCAATGTTATACAGATACAACAGTAACAGAGCCAGAGGTCGAGCCCACAAAATATGGACAGCAGAAATATCAGACACTGAAAAGTGATGGTTTCAGTAGTACAGTCACAACACAGCAGGCACCCACTGCTACACCTGAAGATTTATAATATATCGGTACTCAAATGGGTAATGTGGTCAACATCCTCATGCCAGGTGCTTTTATTTTCCAGGTCATTACCTGGTACACATTTTAGGCTTGCTCGACCTAGGCAAGGTCACTTTTTCAAAAACATCATCTTCAATAGGAATTTGGATCCTAGGCCTGTGAGCTGACAGGCAACATCTAGTCACTACACTACTGTGACTCCGGGTGTAACTGAGTAAGTTCTGATATACTTAAAAGGCAAAACAGTCTTAGACACAAGAAAGAAACAAAAGAATAAGACATGTGAAAGAGAGGTGAGTTTCAGACATGAAAATAAGGTGAAATAAGACACTTAATAGAGAAGTAAGGTAAAATAAGACACAAAAATGAGAGGTGAGTCTAAGACAATTGGAATTAAGGTAAAATAAGACATAAATGAGAGGTGAGTCTAAGAAAATTGGAATTAAGGTAAAATAAGACACATAAATGAGAGGTGAGTCTAAGATGATTGGAAGTAAGGTAAAATAAGACACATAAATGAAAGGTGAGTCTTTGACAATTGGAAGTAACGTAAAATAAGACACATAAATGAGAGGTGAGTCTTTGACAATTGGAAGTAAGGTAAAATAAGACATAAATGAGAGGTGAGTCTAAGACAATTGGAAGTAAGGTAAAATAAGACACATAAATGAGAGGTGAGTCTAAGACACATGAACAAGAGGACAGTCAGTGGTCACAGCAGACATACCTGAAAGTGAGGACAGTCAGTGGTCACAGCAGACATACCTGAAAGTGATGACAGTCAGTGGTCACAGCAGACATACCTGAAAGTGAGGACAGTCAGTGGTCACAGCAGACATACCTGAAAGTGAGGACAGTCAGTGGTCACAGCAGACATACCTGAAAGTGAGGACAGTCAGTGGTCACAGCAGACATACCTGAAAGTGAGGACAGTCAGTGGTCACAGCAGACATACCTGAAAGTGAGGACAGTCAGTGGTCACAGCAGACATACCTGAAAGTGAGGACAGTCAGTGGTCACAGCAGACATACCTGAAAGTGAGGACAGTCAGTGGTCACAGCAGACATACCTGAAAGCGAGGACAGTCAGTGGTCACAGCAGACATACCTGAAAGTGAGGACAGTCAGTGGTCACAGCAGACATACCTGAAAGTGATGACAGTCAGTGGTCACAGCAGACATACCTGAAAGTGAGGACAGTCAGTGGTCACAGCAGACATACCTGAAAGTGAGGACAGTCAGTGGTCACAGCAGACATACCTGAAAGTGAGGACAGTCAGTGGTCACAGCAGACATACCTGAAAGTGAGGACAGTCAGTGGTCACAGCAGACATACCTGAAAGTGAGGACAGTCAGTGGTCACAGCAGACATACCTGAAAGTGAGGACAGTCAGTGGTCACAGCAGACATGCCTGAAAGTAAGAACAGTCAGTGGTCACAGCAGACATACCTGAAAGTGAGGACAGTCAGTGGTCACAGCAGACATACCTGAAAGTGAGGACAGTCAGTGGTCACAGCAGACATACCTGAAAGCGAGGACAGTCAGTGATCACAGCAGACATACCTGTAAGTGAGGACAGTCAGTGGTCACATCAGACATACCTGAAAGTGAGGACAGTCAGTGGTCACAGCAGACATACCTGAAAGTGAGGACAGTCAGTGGTCACAGCAAACATACCTGAAAGTGAGGACAGTCAGTGGTCACAGCAGACATACCTGAAAGTGAGGACAGTCAGTGGTCACAGCAGACATACCTGAAAGTGATGACAGTCAGTGGTCACAGCAGACATACCTGAAAGTGAGGACAGTCAGTGGTCACAGCAGACATACCTGAAAGTGAGGACAGTCAGTGGTCACAGCAGACATACCTGAAAGTGAGGACAGTCAGTGGTCACAGCAGACATACCTGAAAGTGAGGACAGTCAGTGGTCACAGCAGACATACCTGAAAGTGAGGACAGTCAGTGGTCACAGCAGACATGCCTGAAAGTAAGAACAGTCAGTGGTCACAGCAGACATACCTGAAAGTGAGGACAGTCAGTGGTCACAGCAGACATACCTGAAAGTGAGGACAGTCAGTGGTCACAGCAGACATACCTGAAAGCGAGGACAGTCAGTGATCACAGCAGACATACCTGAAAGTGAGGACAGTCAGTGGTCACATCAGACATACCTGAAAGTGAGGACAGTCAGTGGTCACAGCAGACATACCTGAAAGTGAGGACAGTCAGTGGTCACAGCAAACATACCTGAAAGTGAGGACAGTCAGTGGTCACAGCAGACATACCTGAAAGTGAGGACAGTCAGTGGTCACAGCAGACATACCTGAAAGTGATGACAGTCAGTGGTCACAGCAGACATACCTGAAAGTGAGGACAGTCAGTGGTCACAGCAGACATACCTGAAAGTGAGGACAGTCAGTGGTCACAGCAGACATACCTGAAAGTGAGGACAGTCAGTGGTCACAGCAGACATACCTGAAAGTGAGGACAGTCAGTGGTCACAGCAGACATACCTGAAAGTGAGGACAGTCAGTGGTCACAGCAGACATACCTGAAAGTGAGGACAGTCAGTGGTCACAGCAGACATGCCTGAAAGTAAGGACAGTCAGTGGTCACAGCAGACATACCTGAAAGTGAGGACAGTCAGTGGTCACAGCAGACATACCTGAAAGTGAGGACAGTCAGTGGTCACAGCAGACATACCTGAAAGCGAGGACAGTCAGTGATCACAGCAGACATACCTGAAAGTGAGGACAGTCAGTGGTCACATCAGACATACCTGAAAGTGAGGACAGTCAGTGGTCACAGCAGACATACCTGAAAGTGAGGACAGTCAGTGGTCACAGCAAACATACCTGAAAGTGAGGACAGTCAGTGGTCTGTACGACTTGTGGCTGTAATTACTCAGTGTCCTTCCCCAGAAGTCATGCTGAAGCAGATCCTGCACTGGTGTGGTGGGCAGGAGGTCTTTATTGTTCTCAATGGCTTCGGCATCGTCAAAAACAAACTCCCCATCGTAACTGTTGGCAAAACACACAACAGCAATGGCAAACACTGCCAAGCCTGCTAGCCACCGGCTGGGGAAACAGAAAGAGCAAAGAATGTGAGAACTGGTGTACTGTATTTTACCTTGTAAAGATGATAGGTTATCCTAATTTTTTTTTAAGTTTAAAAACTAGGTGTCGTCTTATTCACAGAATGTGATTAAAACAATTATTTCTTTATTTTGGGCTACAAAAATTGGGATCGACTTATACATGAAACAAATATGGTATGTATTTCTGTATGCATATGGCATATGAGCGTATGTGTCTCTGTGTTAAGAAGATCGACTGCAATGCCCCAGGTTATCCCAAATGGCTCAGTCTCTCTCTACAGAATAGCTAGTCACCGGCCAAGATGTCATACAAAGCACAAACTCCATAGCTACAGTGATGATCCCCAGGGATCTCATTAAAGACTGCATTCATAAACTGAATGATGCATTCGTGAAATTAACCAACAATCTTAGTTAGTTAGTCAACAGACTGCACATCGAACCATTCAGTCCATAAGTGCCCGGATCCCCACCTTAGTAAATCCAGCAGCCTGTAGCGCCTCAAGACACTAGCTCTCTGTTGGTTTCTTATTCTTCTCTGGCTTCCTGCATAGTGCTCTTTTCTGGCTACACCCCTTTTAACATGTTGTTTTTGCAGTCTGGTCATTGTTGCAGATTCACAGTCATCACTTGGTTCTTGCAAAAGTCTTACTTCTCGTAGTGCATTCAGAATATCAGCATGGTCCATGGCTCATCCGCCCTCCATAGTAGCTTTACCTGCAAGCAATCAGCTTGCTTATTCCCTTGCACACCTGCGTGCCTTGGCACAAATATGAAACTAATATGTGTCAGCCAGACCGCTTTAGGGACTCCACCCACTGTCTTCGAGTACAGAATTTCTCTATCTTCCTGAGCATACTCATAGTCGGTGAGAAAGCTTGCATAGGAAAAGGTCTGTGTCTCCAGCCATGTTATTGCTTTGGTCACTGCCATGACCTCCATAGTCAGACTACTTGTGGTCAATGCAACATCTCCAGAATCTTGCTTCACAATTTCAACTCCAGCCTGCGCTGTAAAAGCCCAAGAGCTTCTCACATGGTGAACTACTGACCCATCTGTGTAACCCACGATCTTCAGAATAGGAAGCTAACAGCTTGACCATATCACCCTGGAGACCCTCCTCCATCTCTTTATGTATTCATGTGTTTATCTAACAATGTATGTAAACATTTAGTTTTGCAAGTATGAGTGTAAATGATAAAGAGGATTTCTTCTTTAGCGTTTCACTGCTGTTGGTAGAGTGTAAGGGGTGTTTGGTCAATAGTGCTTACTCTATCCTTCTGTATGTCAACTCCACAAAATAGGAGAAAGTGAGCCCCAATCACTCAGTGAGCCCCCTTCAAGGCAGGAGATGTGGCATGATTTATGTTTAGCGAAAATCAGTGCTATCTGCACCATTCTGCTTTCTCTTAGCTTGTTACATGACTATAAAGTGTGTTAGGCTGCACTGTTTTGTCAAGCAGTGATTCAGTACACACAATTTTAGAAACAATTTGTTGGCTTTGCTGAAATCAACCATTCAGGTATCGTGTCTCTTCCCCTACTCTCTCCCCAATGAAAGCTGGCTGCAATAGATTCCAGCATTTTCTGCTTTTCACTTTGGATGTACTCTCTCTCTCTCAGACTGTGTCCGTCTATCTCTTGACATTATCCTGCCACTTGTATCGCTTTCTCCCCCTTGCTAGCTTGCCTCGGGTTTTTTTCCTCTAGCCTTAACTGTCTTCCACTCTACCTAAAAGGCAGGCAGGCAGGATTATGTCTCACTTCCTTTCGTCACTTTTTCTAAACCAGTCCTACATGGAACACCCTACCATCAGATAGCTCTTACGATCACTGGAACATAAAGATCCTCTACAACTTCAAGCTGGGGACGTATAAGAGGGGTTGTGAAAGGAAATGAGAGAAATTACTTGGTGGACAATAAAAGAGAACTGTTCTATGAATAGCTATCGAAGCTTAAAAGATCATGCCCTCTCCCTTTAGCTTAGTGCAATAGTTTAAAGTTGCTGTGCAGTACCAATCGACGTGTTATATGTATCTGTAAAACAAATTATTCTCTAGTCCTTTCTATTTACAATTTAAAAATTTTTAAAGTAGAGACAAGCTGATGGAAACTGAGTATCAAAATCATGAGGACAGAAAGAAAGAGAACTGCACAAATCAACACAGATGTGTCAAAACTGAACCCACACCTCTGATCTACAGCTGTGAAATTATTCTGTAAAATATCAATGGTCATCCTCACCTGAAATTTACATTCAGGCTGCTTTTGCTTGAAGCCTCAGCTCTCAAGGTGTAGTTATGGTCACTTGTAGACAACTCGCGGCTGCTCATGTTCTGGTAGTTTAGCAATACGACTTCATACTAGACACCTGAAAATTTTTGCAGCTACGTATTGTTATGTTACTGATGGCACTATTACTGTAACAGTACAGAAAATAAAGTAGAAATCATGTCTGTTTAGAAAGTCATTATTTTACTTATGCTGTAACTTTTGTACCAACCAACAGAGTATCTGTTTATTGGTCACTATATATATATATATATATATATATATATAAACTGGAGCAGAGCGACGTGAAAGCCATATATGACTTGCTTTGGCTCTACTTTAAATAACGGTCGCTAGCTGGAAGGTGACGGCCGCTTACTCGGAGTTCAGTCCCCTGGCTGCAGTGCAATTACGGAGTGGAAAAGAGGAAACGAAACAAATGAGATAGTTACCTGTCGTCCTAGGGTTGGGGTTAGGGGTAGGGTTAGGGTTTGGGGTAGGGTTAGGGTTAGGGGTAGGGTTAGGGTAACACATCACGGAAACCAAGCAAGCTTATCGCTCATTACGACATACAGATCCGCAGGTCTCACATCTACGGTCACTAAGTCTTGCGTTGGAAGAACGCGGTCGCTTATTTGAGTCAAGCGCGTGGTCTACGAGAGTCTTGCGTCGCAAAAACGCGGTCGCTAATGTCAGTCGCAGCGCATGGTCTAGCTCCAGCAGCCATGACGACCTCACGGTGGATTTTTATTCGTGACTTGTCCACTCCATAATTGCACTGCAGCCAGGGGAGTGAACTCCGACTAAGTGGCCGTCGACGTCCAACTAGCGACCGTTATTTAAAGGAGAACCCTTGATTTTCCTTATATCCTCTAGATTAGGTATATTCAAATGATGGCCCAACGGCCAGTTCTGGCCCATGGAGGCCTAGTAAGTGCCTACAGATCATTGCCAGCTGTACTGTGTTGGTGAGGCTCGGATATCTGGTCAGCGATGATCACCATTTTCAAAATGTTAGGCCCTATTTAAACTAAAAACTTAGCTGAGTAACCCTGCTCTCGTAGTTACATTAACCTATTACAGCTTACTTGTTTCTTCAACTTTTCTGTCTCACTGGATTTAATTACTTATCTAATCCTAGTCCTTTTGGGGAGAAAAATGAAAAGCTCGACCCCGTTCTGACTGCTGCTAGCTAGCAGAAGTTGTAGGTAGTCCCTGCCCCTAATTGTCCAAGTCCAAGTCCTTTTGAGAAAAAAAAAAAGAAAAGCTCGACTACGTTCAGACTGCTGCTAGCTAGCCTAGGCTGCTAACAGTCTCCGCCTATATTTGTGGTCTGGGTTATTTGCGTCACTTTCGTGACTGAATAACCCATAATTGTGGTCTGGTCTGATTCAAAGTCCTACATGAAATATATTCCATTGTGCGTACTCGAATTCAAAATTTGAATTACGTGTGTTTGGAGATTTCGCTTTGTGCAGTTCAACTGACTATGAGCGTATAAACATTATTTATTATTCTGACCATAGACAACACCAATATTTTAAGTGGTACGTACACGAAAACATTCAACAACAACAAGCCTTACATGTCGTCAGGTTAGCGAGAAACTTTTTTTTTTTTTTCTTACAGGGAAACTACTCAATCTTTCTTTGCTTACCTGGTCTGTGTTAGTGATCTGCCCTCCTTATCAATCGTTTACTACTTGTTTTCCTTCTGCTTTTCCTCCTCATCCGACTTATTCTTCTTCTTCTTCTTCTTATTCTGCTTCAACATTCCGAGCCCTTAGAGTTCATTGCATCCGTTCGTCTGTATGATTGACCTTTTCTTTCCCGATATTTGCCTTTCATTTGGTGACTCCTGATGGCGTTTGTGGATCTACCTTTAAATTATCTTTCCACAGTTGGCTTGGTCTGCTTACCTTTACTTTATATTATCTTTCCACAGTTGGCTTGATCTGCCTACCTTTATATTATCTTTCCACAGTTGGCTTGGTTTGCCTCGTGATCCCATTCAGCTCTTTTATGTACGCAGTTCGTATCTCTAATATCTGTCATTCTATGTATATTCCCCAACAACTGTTCATTGATCTTTTTTCATTTCAAAATCACCCTCAGTGCACGTCGGCCATAGCCGTAAGTGCTCAGATCTTCTCCTATGAATGTTTCTTAGTGTGTTTATGCTGACGACTTCAGTTCTGTGTTTCTTGATGAAGCGACTGTAAAGTTTTGCATGGTTTTCACGTCGCTCTGCTCCAGTTAGTATAACTAAACCTCGCAATCGAGTTAGAGAGAAATTAGTTTCTTCACTTTTGAGATCTTCAGCATGTACTGCCTCGCGTATAGCATTGATTATGTCAATTGTGTCCATAGAAGCTCCATTTTCTAAGGTGGCTTCGCCTGCAAGATCATACGCCCTTCACACCGGATTGTCCTGGGGCAAATAAGAAGCGCAATTTTTTGTAATGAATGATACCACTTTCTTCGCATGGATCCGGCGTTAATCTGTTTTATCATATTCTTAGAATCACTCAAAAAACATGCATGTGTGAATTCCTGTGTCTGTAGCCATTCTAAGGTCTTCGCGGCCGCCATGTTTCCACTGCCAAGCTGCTGGTGGTGACAACAAAGTCTCCTCTGGCTTCTTTAATAAATGTTTCCTTCTGTTCTTCTCGTGAACGCTCAAGCACTTCGTTTGTGACAAATTTCAGAACCATCTGTGTATTTAACAGCATCATCTTCGGGTGTGTTTTTATATATAAGTGCTTTGACCTCTGAATCAACCATTGCAAGAAATAAGTCACTACATTTTCTGTCTGTCTAAAGTAATGATTACTTTAATCAGTATCCTATATTCAATAGGTATACGCATCCATTCCTCTCCTGGTTGAATGTCCTTGATAATATATACTGTTTTTATGACTTCCCTGCTCGGCGATGCCATGGTTGGCCTCGTTTAAGTCTATTTCCTTATTGTTGTTTTTCAGTTCCGCGTGTAAAGGATGTGTACGATCTTCGGTATTTTTTAGATATGCTTGTGCCCTTTATAAACTAAGCCTGTTGTCAAGTAGGCCTCTTGTCAGTAATTAGTAGTAATTTTGAACAAGATTTTATTATTGGACTCGTAATCCAACGTACCGCGATCGAAACCCACTGCTGGCTGCGTGGATTTTTATCGTAGTATGGGGCGTTGCAGGTCGACCCAGCTAAAATAGGTACCAGGATGGCTGTCCTGGGGAAATAAAGACGGCTGGCGTAATGCTGACCACATTACCCATCCAGTGCCGATTGGTCTGTAAAAATATGGGACGCTCTGCCCATATACCCGATGCGCCTTAGGCGTAAGGGATCTTTACTTTTACTTACTTTCATTGTTGCTCCTCACTCACCATGCTCTTATATATTTCATCAGTCTAAAAATAGCTCTGTTCTGTTCTGAAAAGTTTCTTTTAGCTGCATTCTGGATATAAGAACCATATAGCACAGTCTGTATGATCAGTATTTTATATTCTAAAATATTGATGTTAAGAGATATAGCATTTTATTTCGGCAGAGTTGTAGGTATCACTATCACCAGTTTCCACTTCCGCCGTTAAGCGTTGAGGGAAGTAACAGTTTACGATCCATTGCGTGATGGGTGCAATGGTTACTGTCATTCCATGTTGAATTAATAGTTCTTTAATGTCATCAATCCCTGTTCTTCTAGGGCGGCCTCTTGGTTTCATTTGAGATCTTTCCATATGTAGCGTCTGCGCTGGTAATTGTGCTGGCCGCATTCCTACTAAATTATCAAACCATCTGTTCTTCTCTTTCTCAATGAATTTGCTGAATGGTGTTGTTCCTACAGTCTGTCTGATAACATTTCTTTGTCTCGGATGGTTAAGTTGGCGGCTTTTCTCAGACATCTCATTTTACAGGTGTTAATTTTACGTTGGTTAGCCTTTGATAATATCAGTCTGACAATGGTAGCACAGTGTTCCTATGAATATTCTGTTTATAATCTGTTTCTTGGTGCTCATACTTATTTTTGATGACTTAATAACGGTGTCAACTGGTATATAAGTGTACTGACTCGTTGGCATCTTGTTTAAATTTCCTGATCTATTCTTCCGCGGCGTTTGTGGCCCTGGCGTTGCGAGTCCGACTCGTAATTCCAACGTACCGCGATCGAAACCCACTGCTGGCTGCGTGGATTTTTATCATGGTATGGGGCGTCACAGGTGGACCCAGCCTAATATGGGTACCAGGATGTATGTCCTGGGGAAGTAAAGACGGCCGGCGTAATGCTTACCACATTACCCACCTATTGCCGAATGATCTGTAAAAATATGGGTGTTTTACACATATGCCCGATGCTCCTAAAGGCGTGAAAATGAATCTTTACTTTTTTTTAAATTAATTTTTTTACCTTACTTTTTTTTTACACTACTATATTTTTTTTTTAAGTTTTACTTTATATATTCTTACGTTCGAGAATATACTTCCTAGATATTTGAATTCTTTAACTTGCTTCAGATAAGTACCATTAAAACCGATAAGTGGAGGAATAGGAATTAGGCTGTATGGTATAGTGTAAAACTTTTATGGGACTAACAAAATTTAATTCTTTTGTCAAATCGGCACTGTTGTCTTGAGCGGAAACACAGAGAACTACTAAGGCAGTTAATAATAAACTATAAACATTCATTAAATAGTGCCTGCGAGAAATAGAGGGAATTAAAGGATATGATAGAATCACTAATGTAGAGCTTTGGGAGAGAACTAAACAAGTTCCATTGGACCAACAGGTTGAGAAAAAATGCTGACGTTGGATATTAAACACGCTGAGAAAACCTGAGAACAATATAAATAGAAAGTCTTTGCACTGGAACCCACAGAGGCATAGAAATAAAGGAGGGAAAATGGAGACGGTCGCTAGAGAGCGAAGCTAAAAAGATAAGGACAACATGGGGAGAGCTGTATGCGATAGGAAAGGTTAGCACGACTTGGTTTGAGTTGGTTGAGAGCCTATGCTCCACTGGGGGCTAGAAAGTCAAAAGAAGAAGAAGTACAGTCTACCTTATTTACAGATTGTATTCTAGATCGTTAATGGTAATATAGAAAATAAACACTTCAAATATAGTCTTTTTCGTTATTAAACAATTGTCATTATAACAAAGGTATATGGGTTTCAATTTGTTTATTGCTGCTGAATCAGTACAATATTTCCAAACAAATCAAGACAGATAAATCCCAGGCTTAAAAATCTGTTGGGTTTGGTCTTCGGCTCTCGAGAACCCTGTCTGGATCTTTTTCCAGGTCATCCTCTAGTGTGGGTCTCGGAAGAACAAACTCATCTCTTGAGTTCCCATTCCTGAAACATTGTAAAGAAAAAAGTAAACGATAAGTGTTTTTTTTTTTTTTTTTCGTTAATAAATTAGGAGCAACCAAAGAATTTATGAAGCTTCAACAAACACAATATTCACGGCACATAAAGTTAATTGGTTTTCTTGTTTATGATACTTAAAACCAACCACAGTTTTTTTTTTTTTTTTTAATTAATTATTTAGGTCGTCTCTTTGTGGATTGCAATATTTCGTTATTTTGAAGCCCCTAACTTTGCTGTTGCCGGGAGCCCTAATATAACCTAACGGTTGAACGGGATTTGCAATTAATCATACGTCCTTCTTAGGACGTTATTTTTTGTTATTTGAAGCCCCACTCTGGCTTTTGCCAGGGGCCGCAATATAGGCAGGTCATCATTATGGCCAAATGTCTGAACGCGGTTTCTGGGACCTCTCCACGGTGATCCTCATCCGCATGGTGGCACTTTGTGTCATCGGGTGTTTATCGCTTGTGTGATGTCCTGGTGGGGTATAAAAAGCCAGCCAACGGGATTTTCGAAACCCCTCTGCGGGTGATCCTCATGCGCATGGTGGCACTTTGTGTTACCGGGTGTTTATCGCTTGTGTGTTGTACTAGTGTGGTGAAATTTACTTTTAATTAGCTTATGTATTACGGGGGCCAACCGTCGTTATATCAGCCAAAACAAAATGGGAGTTATTATCCTCAAAACACTTAGAGACATACAGAGGAGGAGTTCGGAACACTTATGGTCATGTCCAAATGTGCGATTAAGATGATCTTTAAATGAACAGTGAACATTGAACGCTCGATATTTGCCACTGAGCACACAAAGAGCCATAAAAAGGACCCTTATCCACGCCTTTAGACATCTTAGGCATATAGGGCTAGACCTATATTTTATAGACTAATCGGCACTTGGTGGATGATGTGGTCAGCACCTGGTACCTACCCAAAGACGGGTCTACCTGGGAGCCAAGGTCATTTTTCAAAAAAGTCCGGCTCCGTCAGCGCCCAAACTCACGACCTTCTGATCCGCAGGCGAATGCCTGGCCCGCTACACCACGGCGACTCCTTAAAGAGACATAATTTCATGAAGATCTTACTGCGGGATAATCCATACATTGCAAGACTAAATTTTCGATGGTTGCATTTAGGTTCTGGAAGATGGTCAACACTGGAGGAGAGGGAGGGCAAGGGGCATAGGCGGTCGCTAAGTCATGTTGCAACTGGTACTATTAACATGCCAACTCTTGGCTGATTACTGAAGAAAGGGACGAAGCGCCTGTGAGAATGTCCCGAGTGCAGTAATGTCAGTGGTACACGTAACGTTAGTCTCCCCACGCCCCACCCATATACACGCTAGCTCACTTCTGATTGGTAGTTGCTGAACCTGTCACCTTGGCACAAGGTTACGGGGTGTTCCGCAAAGCCGTTGATATCGCGTGTTGTATATTTCAGCACGCCAGCGCTTTTAATGATCTAAAAACATGGAGAAACTGGCCCTAATACAACTCCCCTAGAGAGTGCAGCAACCTACGTAAATGCAAGACAACACATAAAGCAAACAATAAAGCGGGACACACCTGTAACCTTCAGGAAAGTCGACCAGCCGAACAAACTTGTGAATGAAAAGTGACCTACTTTGTTTGGGGAGATTTACGTGAACCTAACCATGTAAATTATTGATTCAATAAATTATTACTGGGAGGTGCTGAGTAACCGAGCCATGTGAGATAACCCGCTGCAACTCTCGACTTTAACTTCCTAATGGTAACACTCTTTAACGACAAATGAACGTTGCGGTTAAAAAGCCTTCATCAGTATATGACACAAAGAGACACTAGATAACACCAATGACTTGAAACAAGGTTAATAAGTGTATAATAATATCATGAGACAGGGTGATGGAGAGCCAAACTGTTTTATGAAGATGGCGACCTTTCTTTTTTTTTTTTTTTTAAATGAGAAATTGGTACCCAAAGCAGTGTTTTCCCGTTAGAAATTTTAATATGAGGACACAAACCGCATACTGCACAATTTACTGACTCTCATATATCGCCGTAGTGTGTCAGATGTATTATTATACACAATGAGAATACTTTTCACTAAAATACACAAATCATACTGTCTTTTTATACCGCACATCTTGGACTTCCATTTGTACTTTCCTTTATAAAAATAAAGTAAGGGACCCTTTTCCCCGCCTTCAAGTGTGTTGGGCATATAGGGCTAGACCTATATTTTATAGACCAATGGGCATTTGGTGGGGGGGGTGTGGTTAACAACCTGCCGGCCGCCCTTACCTCCTAGGACTGCACCTGATACCCACTCTAGGCTGGGTCGACCTGTGAACCAAGGTCATTTTTTAAGAAAGTCCGGCTCTGTCAGGTCCTGAACCCACCACCTTCCGATCCGCAGGCGAGCGTCTAGACTCTACACCACGGCGATTCCCATACCTTCCTTAATAAATAAATAAAAGACTATTTTGAACAAACAATCATGTCTGTGCTATTTATAAATCGGTCCTGGCATCTAGAAGTTACCTGTCAACTTTGACCCCTTTAGACGGGTCCTTCGGATCTTTGTGCTCAATGAAAATGGCATCACGGGACCTGATAGAAGGACACTCGTCGAAGTAACCGTGTGGCACCAGGTGGATCCTCAGCTGGTTCCCCATGGTTGGTGTGACTGGAATGTCTTCTGTGTGCGGGATATGGTGCATGCCGGCTGTGATCCAGAAGACTAGATCCTGGGAAACATAGATGAAACCCCGTGTCATCATCATCATCAGGTAGCAGGTTCTTTGCAGAACGTCGCTCTCATCACAGTCTGCCTGAAAGAAACTCGGTCTCTCGCCAGTTCTCCCGCCTCATCTACTTTCATACTCAAGGAGTCACTTATATCCTGTGCCCATCTTCGTGTCGGTCGGCCACTGCCCCTCTTTCCTGGTACCATGCCTTCTGCTATAATTTTTTTCCAATCCGTCGTGCCGCTTGATATGACCAAATTATTTCAGCTTCCGAGAAAGGATGCTGTTTATTAGCCAATCTTCCTTGATGTTTAGATCTTTCAAGATTTCAGTATTTCTCCTCTTTTTTTGTCCAAGATATTCTGATAATCTTTCTATAGCATTTCAGCTCAAAGGCCCCTATTCTCTTTCTTAATAGATAGTCCACGACTCACATCCGTATGTTGCTACAGGGAAGATGCATGCTCTTGAAATTTTAATTTTCATCTCCATAGGCCTATGTTAAAAGATACATGATATCACTTGTATGTCTGCAAACATATAATGATAATCACTTTCATATTTCAAAACACATAATATTACCTGTTTGTTCGAAGATACATGATATTACCTGCATGTTTGGAAACACAAATCACCTGCATGTTTGAAGATATATGATACCTCCAGTATGTTTGAAAATTATACAGGCCTATTAATTTTATGTTTAAAAATACATATCACCAGCAGTGGCACCAATAGACAGAAAAACTGGAAAAGGGGGGGGGGTCGCTATAGAGGCATAACCTCGTTTAAGTGCGTATGAATAATAACAGGGTGAATGGCAAATTAATGTAATATTTTTTAAATATTATGAAATGTAAAAGCAAATACTTAAAACAAAAACATAAATATACATTTAAGGGACAGCTTAACCACCTTACACGTTTTTAGTCGGGTGGTATGTGAGGTTTTGAGGTTTTGAACAACGGATCAACATCATGGCACACAAGTGATCCGTTCTTCTTCTAACTCAGGCCTGAGTCCGAAGAAGTTCAGCACAGTGCACATGCTCTGTAGCACCGGTGAGGATCCTGAAATATTTTGAGTAGATTTTAAACTCCAAATTATGCCCGGTCAGCGCCGTTAGGCTACTCTTTTCGATTTCTAACTGTCCAGGGATTATTTTACGTTCCCAACAATGCACACGGGCGTCCGATCTCACTACCCAGAGATCAGGTGCAATTACTAGAAGTCCAAGTCCACGTGAAAAAATCCCAGCCCTTTACTGGGGATTGAACCCGGAGCCTCTAGCACGCACCCTTCCCTCTTAAAGGGAATATGTGCAGTGTTGAACCACAAAGGAATATTTAGGCTAATTTTTTTTTTGGGAGGGAGGGGGGGGGGTTGTTAAACAGTACACCATGTACCATTTGATACATACGGAAAACGCGTCTTGACTGGGATGGGACAGAAAGAGTTAACAATAATACCTCATCTACAATGTCTTCGTTATCAGCGTAGAACGCGGAGAAGTTTGTGACAGGCTTGTGGCTGTCAAACATGCCGTAGATGGAGCTAGAGGAGATCTCTTCGTCCTTGCGTTGGGTCACGACCATCTGATGGCGGGCCCAGGTTACCGTCTGCTCATTTCCCGCGTCTTCTTCAATCAGATTTTTGGAAACGCCCTTGATGATGATGCTGCAAAACAGACCATACCCCGCCTAGCTTGTAATTGGTGAGCAGAACATATGTAATCATTGCTTTCTTGATCATGATTAAGATAATCATCAAAGCAATTTGCTTCCGCTGTATATTTGAACAAAGAAGATAGAAACCAGACATGCACCTAAAGAGATACCAAGAAATATCGCAGCCAATACATTTTAAATAAATTGTACAATCTGTTGTTTGTCTTTTTTGTTCAAACTTTTCAGATAATAATGTAATTTCTAAAATCTTCTGCTAAACATTAGATATTTCCTTAAATGCAGTTTTTCAATGGACATGGAAAATTCCACATATGCAATCGAAAATTAGGACAGAAGAAGCAGCGATCAATCTTTATTAGTAAAGGCTCTTTGTGGCATGTTAGAATTCTTTTTTTCTAACCTCCAGTGACGGATTTATCGCATGAAAAATTATTTTGTAACGCGTCCTATACTGTTCTTTGTCTCTGTGATACATCTTCTGTCAGATACTGAGACTTCTGCGCTTGTTATAGACTAACGCCTTTGATTTTATTAAACATTTAAGCTCTATTTTTTTTCGTTGTTAATTACAATTTCTTCTATCTTCATATTAGCCCGTTCCATCACTATCAAACACTATCCTTGTTTAGTGATAGTTTTATTGATTCATGTTTTTGTTTGATTTTGATCAAGAATCACTTGCATTGTACATGGATATATCCATAAGTCTGATATAAGATGTTTAAAAAAAAAAAAAGATGAAACGTATATATTCTTTATACGTCAGATACTAAACATATGCGTTATCAAAATTACAGTCTTACAACAACAACAACAACAACAACAACAAAAAAAAGATGTTACTTGCGGATAGAACTGTCATGAATTTAAACACACACACCCTGGATTACACGTTTCTATGTAACCATTTCGCGGTGCCCCAGTCATCATCATCATCATCCCGCAACACTGCGTGTCGTTGGGTCACCAGTTTCTGTTGACTGTCTGATCAGTTCTCTCCACCTTTGGCGGTCAGTTGCGATGGACTTCATGGTTGCATGCCTGAGGCCTGTCCAGCCAGTCAGGTTCTGTAACTAGGTCTTTCTTGGTCTGCCTATTCTCCTCTTTCCCTCTACTGAGCCCTGCAGTATTGTTTTTTAGAGGCCCTTAGATCTTATTACATGTCTATACCATTGCATTTTTCGCCTTTCCACTGTAGTTTCATAAATGTGGACAGCCTTTTGTCGTTAATATATAGGCGTGTCAGCACACGAAATTATTCACGCTGTTGAAGATCGCAGATTGTGGAAAGGCATGACCGCCTTCGCAATAATTTGACTCTCCGGTTGAATGGAGTCTCAGTGATATGGGGCTGATTGATTCTCATCCTTAAAATGTTAATCATACACAGTGTAAATCTGGAGGGGGGAATCTTTAGAACAACAAAAAAAAACTGCCACATAGTACTCCCTCACCTAACGCCACACAACTATTGTTTGACTTTGGCAGAGATGTAGTCTAAATCTTAAGGTATAATTTCAGTGAAAAGAGACAATTAAGGTTAATATAACATGTAAAAAACTTAAGGATAACATCAAAAGATGGACACCGGCAGTCTGAAATATGTGCAACCCGGATGAGACGATGTTCGGGATCCATTGCAAGCGACCTTCATGCCGATACAAACCCTAATTGGCTGACTGGGGGCAAAAACAAGTAGATGCGTCTACGGACTTTTGGGAGCAAGGGAACAGTGTGGACACACACATAGATCTTTACGGCCAGGAGAGAGTGGTGCAGCTGGGAATGACCACGGGATCTGGCCGAAACTCACTCAGAAGAAAGGCACAAAACACATATAATCACACAACTACTGGTACCATCGTAATTAGAACTCTTTGCTGGCTGTTAAAGACAGGGGGGGGGGGTGTGCCTATGCGAGTGTCCCGAGTGCTCTGATGTCGGCTCTTAACTCAACTTAACTCAGCTGAATGTTGAATGTTGAATGTTGAATTAAGAATCGACATCACAGCACTCGGGACACTCCCATAAGTGTTCAGTCCCCATCTTCAGCAGCAAGCGAAGAGTTCCAATTCCGATGGCACCAGTAACCGGCTGATTGTACATCCGTCTCATCCTTCCCCTCAGTGTTGAGCGTCGATCAGATCCCCTGGTAACTCCTCGCAGCGCCATTCTCCTTAGACTGTAATGATCTGTCTGTGCCTTCTCACTGTTCACTCGCTCCCAAAGGGCCTTCACAATATCTAACTTCTCACACATCAGTTCACCACCAGGTGGGGCAGAGCCAGCCAGTCGATCTGCCTGCTCATTTCCTAACACACCGGCATGACCTGCAGAAAACTCAGCTGAAAATTACTATTACACACACAAACACACACACACACGAGGGTTCAGCCAATCAATTGACAGCTTGGCTCTCCTTGCAGATCCAGACGAGGGTTGGACGACTTAGTTCGAGTGGGAGTTCTCTGCCTTGGCCGCACTCGAAACAGTGAGCGGAAAAGTCACCAAACAAAAGACATACTTACCTATCATCATACGGTTGCGTGTAAGGTTGCGTACGGTTGCTGTTAGGGTTGCGTAGTCATCATACGGTTGCGCGAAGGGTTGCGTAGTCATCATACGGTTGCGCGAAGGGTTGCCGAAGGGTTGCCTAGTCATCATACGGCTGCGTGTAGGGTTATACCTATCATCATAAGGTTGCGTGTAGGGCTGCGTACGGTGTGGGTTCGGGGTTAGGGTTAGGGTTTAGGGGTAGGGTTAGGGGTTAGGGTTTAGGGGTAGGGTTAGGGTTAGGGGTAGGCTTAGATGTGACAATTTTGACGTAGGAGTTCCAAATACTTGGCCGACAATCTGATGCTTGTGGGAGTGGCGCCACTGGAAGTATGTCAAATATGACTGCAATAGCGCGCAGCTGGTGCCCAACCGGTGGCGACGTGTCCGTGTCAGTAGCATCCACAGTCCGTCGACTGTTTAGGTGTGTATGTGACAGTGCGCGATTATTGGGAATTCCTGCGTCGTCAAAATTGTCACATCTAACGCTAAACCTAACGCTAAACCTAACCCCTACCCCTAACCCAACCCCTAACCCAACCCCTAACCCTACCCCTAACCCCTAACCCTAACCCTAACCTTACCCCTAACCAACACCCCTAACCCAAACCCTACGCAGCCCTACACGCAACAGCATGATGGACTACGCAACCACTCAGGCAACAGTATGATGACTACGCAACCCTACAAGCAACCGTATGATGACTACGCAATCCTAAACGCAACCGTACGCAACCTTACACGCAACCGTATGATGATAGGTAAGTATGTCATTTGTTTCGTGACTTTTCCGCTCACTGTTTCGAGTGCGGCCAAGGGAGAGAACTCCCACTAAACTGAACTAAGTCGTCCAGCCTGCATCCAACCCTCGTCCGGATTTGCAAGGAGAGCCGACAGCTTTCTTGCACATAGGCCAGCTACAGTTTTTAGGCGCACGGGCTTTTTCGTAAACTAATAAAAACGCGCCATCCTTCAGTTCTTTCTTTCTTTTTTATTTTTATTTAAAACAGTTACATAGAAGTAATTAAAGTAACAAAAGTTTTACTGATGAAACAAATATGAAACTGATGAAACAAATATTCCACAAATCCTATTTCATAAACATTGTGATTCAAATTCTTACTAAAATAATAATAATAATAATAATAATAATAATAATAATAATAATAATAATAATAATAATAATAATATTAGTAGTAATAAGGCTTTATGTTACCTGTAGGCCTTGCTCTCGTTGTATTTATTCTTTTTGTCATTGCTGTATACCAGATGATCTTTGGGGATGTTAAAATCAAAATCGTAGACAGCTTCCTTTTCCGTTTTCTTCAATGTGGGAGTTATCTTTGTTTGAGAGTACATCTTATCTGGGAACTAAGGGTGAAGAAGTTTAATTTGAGATTCGTGTATACCTGAGAACAAAACATAATAGCAGTTATGGTTTCACAATGTCTACTTCTATTTTGTTCACCCGCGAAAAGTCCTGGTTGATCGTCCTTGACTGGAGTTTTGTCTTGTTCCAGGATCTGAGTTTTGCATGCACACCCGTTTGACAGATCTGGCTTATATTTGTGCAGACTAATACCCGTCTCTCTGGCTAGATAGGCTCCAGCTCCGAAGGAAACGTCGATCTTAACTAAGCTGGTGCGGTCCCCAATGAGGTACCTACTTTTAGGAACACCCCACAGAGCTGTAAAAATGTCTTGAATGGAATGAGCTTTGTCTTTTTCTCTAAATTTTCCAGACTCTCTAGTTCAGGTTTAGGTTTGGACGAAGGATCAACATCATGACACAAAGATAGTAACCGTTAAGTGTGCTCCGTTTCAGTTCTGACTCAAGCTCAAGTGGGAAGAATCTCAGCGCAGGACATAAATTCGGTAGCAATTGTTATTATGATAATTAATAACTGAATACAAGTAAATTGTATGCCCTAATCTCTTATTGGCACGTTTCCGTGTTTTCAGACGAGAGTGTTACATTGTGTCACTAGAAGGCATGGAATTCACAGCCGATGGGGATGAACATTGTGAGTAGCAAGACCTGCCTGCGTGAAGAAAAGTCGTTCACAACCAGAGCGTGCGATTTAAGGATCCGTTGTTTGCAGCATATGCATTTAGTGTGTTTCTTCTCAGACGCTCAACTTTCATCCTTTCTACAATCGTTTCTTCCTGCAATCTCATTCCCTTACAAATTTGCCTTTTCCGTGCAACCCGTTTATTGCCATTTTGATGTTCTAATTAGAATGTCTTAAGGCAACACCAGTTGACTATTTGCTGCGTTTATTAATCAACTTTACGTTTAGTACATTTGCTTGTTTAAATATACGACGCATATACACTTGTCAGCCTCTAAGTCACCAAAACCACCACTACTACTATTACTACTAACGCCATCACTACTACTACTACTACTACTACTACTACTACTACTACTACTACTACTACTACTACTACTACTACTACTACTACTACTACTACTACTACTACTGCTGCTGCTGCTGCTGCTGCTGCTGCTGTTGCTACTACTACTACTACTACTACATAAACACCATATTCAACACAGCGATTGTCTAGGTGGAAAACTTACTGCGGCCAACTTCACATTCTCTTTGGTGATATCCAAAGTCTCATATCTGTTGGAGGTGCCACCAATGTCCATGTCCACCTTAAAGTTAGCCACGTGATGGTGGACGTTCCCAAGAATGTTGTCCTGGATGTGATGCCCATATGGTACTTCCGTGGGAGTGAAGAAAGTTGCTTGAACATAACCTGGATGTACACAGAAGGGGAAATAAGGGGTTTCTTGATTAAAAGAAAATCTTAAATCTTTCATGGAAATTACGAATACTATTTTGCTTATCGGGGAAGCAGGCAATCACAGTTCCACCTTCATTGTAGCTGGGTCACCCCATAGTTGCTCTACCCCTGTGCAGACGAAGATCACACAGAATGCCCATCACTGTTAGTTGTTTGCATATCCTTTACAGGACATTGCAGAACCAACTTCTGCCTTTTTTGGGCTGTTGTGGTTTTTCTAGGCAGATTTTACGTGCAGTAATTTGCCACTGCTTTCAGAACGCTCAGCTCTTGGTACCACTGTCAAAACCAGCGCAAGACAAACCGTCCGCAGTTGGGATCGAATCCGGCCTCACCCCGGCATTACGAAAAGCGTTGCCCATCACAGTTCACTGTGAAAAGTTATGACACATACTACAGTCTTTTTAAAAACAAATATCATACAGGCGCATTAAATGCATAGAGCAGCCGTCAGAAGTGGCAGCACAAACATTCCGGTACTAGAAATTCAGTTCATTGTCGATGTAAGCAGCAGTTACCACAGATTAGTAATAATATAGTCAATTAATTGCACAAGGCACCACCAGTTCTCTAGCAACAGGCCACTCACCATTTCTGAATCTGCAAAACACAACACAAATCACGTTGGGCGCAGTTAAATGTATTCCAAATAAAATCGCAGCTCACAGTTTCGCGCCATGTAATTAGCTTAGAAGCTGGGGGACGAAACTAAATCTTTTCAGTCCACAGATGGGAGGAATGTGCAACGGTTAACTATAGTCAGAAGCAAAAACTTGTCCTTACTAACAATAGAAAACCTTTCTATCCACCATAATGACTAGAAGTTCTTAGATCTAATGTAACTAAAGTCCCTTTTCCATGCCTTAAGTCGTATTGGGAATATAGGGCTAGACCTATGTTTTTATAGACCAATCGGCACTTGGTGGGTAATGAGGTCAGGACTGCACCTGGTACTCACTCAAGGCTGGGTCGACCAGGGAGTCAAGAGAGCTAATGTAGTTATATAATTAATTTTAAAGTCAAAGTCGACTTCATTGCACCGAGTTTTATCCCATATGGCTCGGTCTACTTTCGCAGAACGCCAAGCCTTTGCCCAAAGCATTGCACAGAGCACGAACTCCTTAGCTCCGGTAGCGATCCCAAATGATCTACGTAAATATTTCCCTCATGAACGGAACGACGCAGCCGTGAAGTGAACCCACGACCTTCAGAGCATGAGGCAAACGGCGTGACCACTTTGCCACGGAGATACTCCCCATCCACCCCCTCCCCTCCCCATATAAAAGCAGAGTTCAAAATCAGCAAGAATAATGAAAACAAATATACTCCGTCTGCAGAACTGTACCGTACCTGAGCTCATAAACTGAATAGTCACTGCGCCACTTTGATGAAAGTGGAAGTCAATAATGTAGTCGTAATTATAAATGGACAAAGCTGATCTGAAAGAGAAAATAAATGAATAAATTACCCTCTTTTTTTGGGGGGGGGGGGGGAGAGGATCGCTTCATTGCACTAGGTTTTTATTCCATACTGCTCAGACTCTCTCCGCAAAACAGCCGAGTTGCCTGCCGAGAGATTCACATAAAGCGCAGTCTCCGTAGCTCCGGCGACGATCCGCAGTGAATACTGTAAAAACTGCACTCGTGAACTGAATGACGCCGAAACGAACCCACGACCTTCAGAACGCGAGACCACTTCGCCACGGAGACCCCCGAAATAGCTATAGCATTGCACTGACGAATACTTTAACTTATCGGTCGACTTGTCGGTTACTAAATATATTGATTATTATTAATAATAATAACGGCATTGACCCAGCGACCCTGTGCTCTTGATCTTTGTTTTAGTGTTCTGCAGTGGTGGGTTGGTAAGTTAGTTGGTCGGTCGGTTGATCTGTTTGTTGGTTGGACAGTTGGTCCATTTTTCGAAAGGCCTCTAAAAAACTGAACTGACTCTGAGGTCAGCTGCGCCCTGAAAAATGTTTGCGTCCACCGACGTTGAGAAGGGAGTGGTGACTCTTACTCATAATCCAATACTAAAGTGCCATCTCAATAGTCACTATATTAGAGCTTCTAGGGAGAGACAAAGTTCTTTGGTCATGTAATGAGAAAATATCACGACGACTGGAAAGATCACTGGAAAAAGAGGCAGAGGCAGACCAAGAGAAATGATGGTGGATGGCTTAAGACAGTGGCATGGAGGAATATCATCAGTAGAATTGTTCCAGAACACCAAAGACTGAGAGCTGTGTCGACGCATGAGCGCCTACACCAGCTGGCAAGGCACTTGACGATGATGGAGAGGTATGTCATCTGCAAGCCTCGGAACACATCCTATGTGCAGACTACGTCCTAGAGCAGTGGTTTTCAACTTGACAACTCAACGAAGTTTCAAGGGAGTGTCAAGCAATTTTGAAATTGAATAATGCCTTTGCGCTTGTTATATAATCTATTACCGGAAAGGGTAACCCGATCAACAAATTACTGCAGAAGTCGGATGTGTCGGCCGAAAGGCGCAAATACGGCAGCCATGCTGTAAACGGGTGCAACTCCTTTACACTTTTTAGATGTACGCGGAAGAGGATGATCTGTACTAACATCCCACCCCCACAGATTGAATACAAATTAACATTTAATAGTCATAAAAATACAAAAAAGCGCTGCCTGCTAGAGGTGGGAAATTATATTCGGCGTGCCTAGAAGTCGTCCCCATATTGAAGCCCCACCCTGGCTCTTGCCGGGGGCCGCAATATAGTCTGACAGTTGAAAGCGGTTTCTGGGACCTCTCCACGGGTGATCCTCATCCGCAAGGTGGCACTTTGTGTCAGCGGGTATATCTCGCTCTGTGTGAGATGTCCCGGTTGGGTAACATTAACTTACTTCGGCGTGCCTGGTAAAAATCAGACCCACAATAGCAGAAATCAACAAAACTGTCAGCCGTCACACTGAAATCTGGACACTAAATTGTCAGTTTTTGGTGTTTCTTTTTCTTTGTTATTTGAGACTCTGATTTATGTAGATGATGGTCCCCATGTTCTTGTTGGTAGTGCTTGGAATGTTTCTTTTTGCGTTTCTCAGTTTTAATCACATTTCTGTTACTTTGGATGGGGGTGAGGGACGCTGGGAGGTGGGGGGACATATCAACTCAAGTTCGAGTTCGAAGAAGCTCAGCTCAGTGCACAGGCTCTGTAGCACTGGCGAGGATCCTGAAATTCTTTGGGTATTTTTTTTTTAACTCCAAATTTTTGCCCGGCCAGCGCCGTTAGGCTACACTTTTCGATTTCCAACTGCCGAGAGCCTTTTTTACGTGCTCAACAATGCACACTGCGTCCGATCTAACTACCTGGAGACCAGGGCAATTATTAGAAGTCCAAGTGAAAAAATCCCAGCTCTTACCGGGGATTGAACCCTGAACCTCTAGCACTCGAGGCAGACCACGAAGCCGTCTACCAAGTTCTGGAATAAGACCAAACACAAGATGTTGATGAACAACCAAAACTGTCCGCTGGAGTTTACAGCCGGTGAATGTTGAAAAGCAGAATAAATTGTTGAATTTTTCTACAGGACTGTCCCCGGAACAACCACAGACAAAACAATTTCCGCCTAAAGACGGTCGGCGCGACACTGGCTTATTGACTACATAACTCCAAAGATGTCGATTGGTTTCTAAAACTATACGGCTGGCATTGTACTTCAGATTTAATAAATTTATTTAAGTTTCCTTACAACAGTATCTGCTTTCAGTCAGTCAGTCAGTTCTCGTTATGCCTAGTGACACATGAGGCTTCAGAGAGGACTTTCCACGCTCTTCTGTCCTGTGCAATCTTCAGTGCAGTTTTCCATGTCAAAGATGCCGCACTCAGGTCACTTTCCATCGTTCGTCTCCATGTTGTTTTTGGGCGCCCCTTTGTTATCTTTCCCTCTGGTATCCATGTTAGAGCTGTTTTGGCGGGTATACCAGGAATTATTCTCATAACGTGGCCAAGCCATTTCCACATTTCTGCTGTTAAACTGCTACTTATATGGTGTTTCATAAGTTCGTTTTTAGTCAAAGTTTGTAAATAACTGCACACTGAGTTGTGTAGTTTAATGTGTATGCGCGTTACAAATATTCAATCAGTGACTGCGGAGGAATTTAACCGAACACTCTATAAATCTCGAACAGGCAAAACAAGGAATCCTGTTTCCGTTGCGACATACCAACCTGAGAACCAGTGCGGAGTTGAGCATACCGCCATAGAATGCTCCAGACTTGATATCATAGGAAAGATGGCGTCTAAGTGGAATTCCATCATTGTCCTCAAATAAACACATTGCAGCCTCATAGACGGCAGGATCCTCGTTGTACTGGTTCATAAATGTCTGTGGGCCAAGAAGAAACCATGAGACACATAAAGTGAATTATCTTACACACTTTCACAAGTCAGTAGCCATAACTTGAGTGAAGGACCCTTTTCCATGCCTTCGTGCGTATTGGGCATATAGGGCTCATCATCATCATGTGCCTTGTCAACTGGCGTAGGCGCTCGTGCGTCTCTACATATCACGATCTCTGGTTGCCTGGATCAGCTCTCTTGATATCCCTCCATGCCATCGATTTAGCCCATCCAGCATCATCTCTCTCAGTCTGCCTTGACACTTTTTCCCACTGTTCTTTCCAGTTATCACGATGTTCTCCAATGTATCTCTTCTCATTATGTGGCTAGACCTATGTTTTATAGACCAACAGGCGCTTGCTGGATTTGAATGTTAAAAGTTTAATTAAGAATCGACATCACAGCCCTCGGGGAACTCCCATAAGCACTCCGTCCCAATCTTCAGCAGCAAGCGAAGAGTTCTTTTTTCAATGGCACCAGTAATAGTCTGACTGTATATCCGTCTCGACTTTCCCTTGAGTGTTGAGCGTCGGCCAGATCCCCTGGTAACTCCTCGCAGCGCCATTCTCCTCACACCATAACGATCTATATGTGCCTCAGTACTGTTCACTCGCTGCCAAAGGATCCTCACAATATCTAGTTTGTCATACATCAGTTCACCACCAAGTGGTGCAGAAATATTATTAAAATATATATTGATTAGCATAGGGATTTTTGAGCTAAAATGCTAAAGACAGATCTTCAGAATACTCTGGACAAAGAAGAAAATAATTACTGCCACTTTATAGATATGAACATCAAGGAAGATTGCCTAAAAAAACAGCATATTGATTCGGAAGCTTAAATAGTTTGGATTTATGAAGCGTCACGGCGGATTAGGGAAAACAAATTTAGCAGAAGGCATGCTACCAGGAAGGAGGGGCAGGTGTCGACTAACACAAAGATGGACATGGGATATGTGACTTCTTGGATATGAAATGAACAACATGGGAGAATGGCGAGTGACCGAGTTTCTATCAGGCAGATCGTGACGAAAGGGATGTTCTGTTCCATGATGCTGCTCACGATTAGGGCTATTAGCAACATAAAAGTGATCTTACCTCAATAAACTTTAACAGGTAACATTCTTATCAGTACTTTTGAACGCGATTGACTTCATTCTTTGGAGTTTGCAGATCCTAATAATATGTTAGTATCATTATTTATTTCAACTTTTAGTGTTACCTCTTTGTCCCTAATTTATGTGTACCTTAAATTATTCCTAATGTATATGCGAGATCGAGTGAATAATGAAACTATCAGGCAAACTGTGGGAACGACACCTTGTACTAGATTCATCGAGAAACAGCAGATCAAGTGGTTTGGCCATCTCGTTAGAGTGCAGCAAGATCAAATACCATCACAAGTACTACATCTCAGAAGATCAACTACAAGAGCAAGATGACGGACGCGGAAAACATGGATCGACAACATTAAAGACACTCTACGCCTTCACGGCATGACAAAAGGCAGAGGCAGCCAACGTTCACTGGATCTCAAATTATTCCTCCATATGACGCTTAACGGCAGTAGTGGTTTATGATGATGATGAATGTATGTTTACCTTCATTTATTCCTAATGTATGTGTACCGTTATTTATTCCTAGTTTATATGTACCTTCATTTACTCCTTTTATGTGTATCCTTTTGTATTAACAGTTTGTTTGTACATCTTTGTATTTCCAGTCCGCCTGAACCTGTTTATAGATCTAATCAGTTCGCTCATAAAGATGGCTTGATGTGGGCAAGTAAACTAGTTAGCCAGATAGTGTAACAGTAGCCTGGGTCAGAAGTAGCTGTTAGAGGCTAGACAAAGTCAGTAACTTTTGGACTAATCAGAGGGAGTTGTAAAGGCTACTACACAAAGTGAGTTAATTTAATATTTGGCTTGAACAGGAGGGGGTGTATGAGAGGAAGAAAAAGATGTTATTGTAATCAGTGTGCTAGGGCAACAGTTTGCATCTACACCTTAATATGGCTAGGGCTACAGTTTGCATCTACACCTTAATATAGCTAGGGCAACAGTTTGCATCTACACCTTAATATAGCTAGGGCAACAGTTTGCATCTACACCTTAATATAGCTAGGACAACAGTTTGCATCTACACCTTAATATAGCTAGGACAACAGTTTGCATCTACACCTTAATATAGCTAGGGCAACAGTTTGCATCTACACCTTAATATAGCTAGGGCAACAGTTTGCATCTACACCTTAATATAGCTAGGGCAACAGTTTGCATTTACACCTTAGTATAGCTAGTGAAACAGTTTGCATCTACACCTTAGTATAGCTAGTGAAACAGTTTGCATTTGCACCTTAGTATAGCTAGTGAAACAGTTTGCATCTGCACCTTAATATAGCTAGGGCTACAGTTTGCATCTACACCTTAATATAGCTAGGGCAACAGTTTGCATCTACACCTTAGTATAGCTAGGGCAACAGTTTGTATCTACACCTTAGTATAGCTAGGGCAACAGTTTGTATCTACACTCTAATATAGCTAGGACAACAGTTTGTGTCTACACCTTAGTATAGCTAGTGAAACAGTTTGCATCTGCACCTTAATATAGCTAGGACAACAGTTTGCATCTACACCTTAATATAGCTAGGGCAACAGTTTGCATCTACACCTTAGTATAGCTAGGGCAACAGTTTGCATCTACACCTTAGTATAGCTAGTAAAACAGTTTGCATCTACACCTTAATATAGCTAGGACAACAGTTTGCATCTACACCTTAGTATAGCTGGGACAACAGTTTGCATCTGCACCTTAATATAGCTAGGGCAACAGTTTGCATCTACACCTTAATAAATTTGCTGCGTGAGACAGAGCATCTATGGGCATTCCAGGTGTGCTTTGATGCCGATTCTTAAATCAGTGATCTTTATCAGTGTGGTCAGAATGATTTTTAGTAGCAGCCAAAGTCGGTTGACGCAATGGTTGGTTTGATCAGAATGACTCGTGGTAATAACCAAGCATAGTTAAATTGATACTAGTACATTATGGTTTCTAAAAGTCAAACGAAACAAATAAAATAGGTTACCCACCGCATTCAAGAGTGTAGCTGTATCAGGACAGTCCGCTCCAGGGACCAGGGCTTTGGATCTGCTTCCAAGCATGACCCCGCTGTCAACATAATCTGAGGTTTGCTTTTAAGGGAAACAAATTGAGAAATTATTCAAAGTGAGGCCAGCACACTTATCGTGTAGCATGCTTAAAGGCTTGAATGGTTAATCACCGAGTCCCAAATTGTGTCTGTGTAATTTGCTCGAATTATGCCATGTGCTCAAGCTTATTTCTCATCAGAACATGCTCAGTACATCTTGTCTATATCTAATTTATTTGCTAATTTTTCTTTTTCTTCTTCTTCTTCTTCTTCTTTCTCTTCTACTACTACTACTACTACTACTACTACTACTACTACTACTACTACTACTACTACTACTACTACTACTACAACTACTACTACTAGTACTACTACTGCTGCAGCTACTACTACTACAACTACTACTTACTACTACTACTACTACTACTACTACTACTACTGCTACTACTACTACTGCTTCTTCTTCTTCTTCTTCTTCTTCTTCTGCTCTTTATCCCCCAATGGATAAAAGACCCTTAACTAATTCGTCTGATGGAATATCCTTTCCATCTAACCTTCTATCTAACCCCTCCTTGTCATTTTGGTCTGCATTTATTCCTATGCCCTTGTCGGTTCTAGTGTATGGACATTCTAGATAAACCGTTCTCAGGGTGTGTGTGTGTGTTTTTTTTTCTGTGTGTCCTATCCTAGGCCAGTGTCTGTTCTTCATATCTTGATTCCTAGAGTTTAGTTCTCTCCCGAAGTTTCACTGTTAGCTGGGCGACCTATATTTGTCTCTAGATACATTAGGATGACAAATCTATGTTGCGAGCAAAGACCATCATCTAAAACTTGTATGTAAAACAGTCAAACATACTTACACCAAACGGTGCATGACCAGAGTAGAACACTGCAATATCAGCTAGCCCGAGCTCATAGATAACTCTCTCTCCGTTGTATTCAACATTGTAGAGAGCTGGCCCAGTTAGGGGAGACAACCTGTAGTAGAATGACCATCCCATGTATTCGACCTGCAGGGAGAGATTGTATCTAGAAATTAACCATAAAATGAGGTTGCACATCCTTTTGCAGTTTGTGGGTTTTCTAGACAATCATACGTTCGGCTGTTTGTGGGTTTTCTGGACAATCATATGTTCGACTGTTTGTTGGTTTTCTGGACAATCATATGTTCGACTGTTTGTTGGTTTTCTGGACAATCATATGTTCGACTGTTTGTGGGTTTTCTGGACAATCATATGTTCAGCTGTTTGTAATTATTTTTACTAATTCCTTACGTCCTTCTTAGGACGTAATTTTTTGTTATTTAAAGCCCCACTCTGGCTTTTGCCAGGGGCCGCAATATAGGCAGGCCATCAATATGGCCAATTGTCTGAACGCGGTTTCTGGGACCTCTCCACGGTGATCCTCATCCGCATGGTGGCACTTTGTGTCATCGGGTGTTTATCGCTTGTGTGATGTCCTGGTGGGGTAGAAAGTCAGTCAGTTCAGCTGTTTGTGGGGTTTTTGGACAATCATATATTAGACTGTTTGCCATTTCTTGGAAGCTGTCGTATTGTGAAGTCTTCCATTGTCAGGATTCCTTTCATCATCTTCATCAAGGTCTCACAATGCCTCTTGACGTTTCCAAGAATGAATGAATGAATGAATGAATGAATGAATGAATGAATGAATGAATGAATGAATGAATGAATGAATGAATGAATGAATTGACATCACTCCACTCGGGGACATCCCCGTGTGTACTCCATCTACTTCCTCAGCAGGCAGCGAATTATCTGCATGCGAATAGTTCCAACTGCACTAGGATTACAATTTACCTATGGCTTTCCCCTCAGCATTGAATATAGTGCAGATTCTCCCTCCCCCCCCCTCTCTTCTCTGCCCCCCCCCCTCTCTTCCCTGCCCCCATCCAGCCGAAATCTGAAGTCTTTTGGCGTTTCCATTTTCAATGTTTTATGCGCTTGCTGCTAGCAACGTTGGGTTCATTTTCATTGGGTGGCCGAACCATTTCAGTCTTTGTTTCTCAGTAAATCTAACGATGGATACTGTGCCAATAGTTATTTTAATCTCTGCATTTATTACTCGATCTCCTCGCGGCCTTTCTCAAACATCTCATATCACAAGCGGTTAGTCTAAAAACTAATACTGTAAATGTTCCGGAAGGTAAAGGTTGTCAGTGTAATATTGTCTACTTCCCTCGTTGAGTTTACAATTTGTCTATACTAATATATGAAATACTCAAGGCTTTATTTCTGTCGGTTTACAACGGTACCCAGTACCGGCACCTTTTTACGCATTATGTATGGATGTGTGTGTGTGTGTGTTTCAGCAGTACTGTAGTAGACATATTAAGGCGAGTACTGGCACACTTTAGCTCCTTGAGTACCAGAAGGTTTTACGGGAGATTCCCGTATGTATAAATAACCAACAGACGCAAAATATTAGGGAAGCCAGATTTCTTAAAAAACTGTGACCAACTATGAAAAGGAATAGACCATTTTACATGTTGAGTGGGATTTACACTAGTGCTAATTGTGCATAAAATGTTGTTTAGGACTGAAAGAGTTAAGACACTTTGAATTGAGTACGGCATCTTTTTGTGCATAAAAATAGCCCTGAACATACCTACTATGATTTAAGGCATTAGAATGAGCGCTCGTCTTTCTCCATCTTAGGGTATTATATTTATTATGCAAAAGATGAATCATACATAAACTAATTATCTAACTGTCAGGTGGCTGCGTGGTCTCGAGGCATGGTGTCCGCCTCGAGTGCTAGAGGTCCAGGGTTTAATTCCCGTTCAGTGCCGGGATTTTGTCACGTAGACTTGGACTTCTAGTAATTACCCCTGATCTCTGGGTAGTGGGCACGTAAAAAAAAAAATCCCTTGGTGGTTGGAAATCAAAAGAGTAGCCCGGGGAAAATTTGGAGTTTAACATCTACCCAAAGTATTTCAGGATGCTCGCCGGTGCTACAGAGCCTGTGCACTGTGCTGAGCTTCTTTGGACTCAGACTCAAGTTAG